AATTCGTGGATGTCTAAAATAGGGACGTTCAAAAAATATCGACAGTTTTGAAAATATCAATATATCGAAATATCGATATTTAGAAAATATCGATGTATGAAAATATCGATATTTAAAAGACATTGATATTTTTTCGAAAAAAAACTAAAACTGAAATCGTGGAAATCTAAAGTAGGGACGTTAAAAAAATATCTAGCTTTGAAAATATTGATATTTTTTCAAAAAAAATCTAAAAATGATTTAGAATCGTATCTCTGATGCTAGAGGACGAAAAATTCGTGGAAGTCTAAAATAGGAACGTTCAAAAAATATCGATAGTTCTGAAAATATCGATATATGGAAATATGGATATTTATAAAATACCGATATTTTTTCGAAAAAAATTAAAACTGGTTTAGAATCATATCTCTGATGCTAGAGGAAGAAAAACTCGTAGATATCTAAAATAGGGATGTTCAAAAAATATCGATAGTTTTGAAAATATCGATATTTTCTCAAAAAAATCTAAAAATGATTTGGAATCGTACCTCTGATGCTAGAGGACAAAAATTTCTTGAAAGTGTAAAATAAGAACAAACAATAAATATCGATAGTTTCGAAAATATCGATATATGGAAATATCGATATTTAAAAAAATCTCGAAATTTTTTCGAAAAAAAAATGATTTAGAATCGTATCTCTGATGCTACAGGAAGAAAATGAACACTGCGATGTCCCATTTGTAATTCTCAGTAATCTAATAATAATATATCTCTCTCTACGACTAGTGTAGGTATATTATAGCTATTTAAGCCTATGCCGGAAAACAATCGATCGTTGCCAGTTGTGTAAATACGTTTCGAAACAGACTTAACCTTCGTTTACTTCCGCGAACGTCAGTTCCATTATGTGTTCGCGATTATACTTGCCGGCGATTTTTTTCCTCGATGGTTTCGCCGTTTCCTTTTGAACATTAACCGACAACGACGACCATAATTAACAATGGAAGGAAAAGGTTACAACCGGTGTGTATTCTGTATAATTGCGTTCGCGTGAGCGTGCTTAGGAGGTGACACAAAGACGCTGTTAACGTATACTATGAGAGGATAAAATAAAATTTGCAATAATAATGGTATACTTTTTTTAATCCACTAGTGATTAAATGTTTTATAAACAACTTCTAAATTTATAATTATCTACCTTTAAAATATTTCGTTATAACCGAAATAGCCCCAATTATGAGCCCACTAGCAAAACCGGTGATTAAATCTATGCTCGCTACCGTATAGTTGAACTCATCTAAAAAGTTTTTTAGCTGGGATAATTAATTATAATACAAGTTAGACCTTCTGGGATATCAAAATATTTCGTTTTTTAAATTTTATTTTAGAATTTTCACAAAATATACATAGTGAGGCATCTCTTAGAAAAATAAAACTTATAAAACGATTAAATTTACTAATTAGGACGGAAAATACGAATGTGTGGAATTCGGACGGAACGTCATTAAGTTAAACTGGCTTAATTGTGTGTGTGCCGGCATTTAGCGACAATTGATGATAACTTTCGACTAATCGGTCAATTTCTACGTGCCATCGTGCCGACTACGACTGTTTCCTACATTAGATTATCGTTCTTACGTCGTACCAATTAACTAAAAACGTACCGCCGACAGTAGAACACACGTAACTTAAATGGAACGATCGTTTATCGATATATTTAAACAAAATGTCAAATCTTTTTTAACGTTATTAGGTACGTTAGTATGTTTTGGTAAGGTAAAAAGCAAAAGGTAAAAGTTTTTGGTTGTAGCAAACTGTTAAAATTGCCTTATATCTATCAAAAATAGTAGATAAAATGTACTTTAACCGCAAAGGTAGATTAAATGATACTTTAACAGCGAGGACCGGTTAAAAACTTTATTTCTTCTCGTATGTTCTTTAATTGCTTCCATTTTTGAAAATGTTTGTATTCCTTTTCAAAAGTTATTCGGGATTTAAATGGAAGTAGTTTGGATATGGCGTTTGTCGCCTCAGCCTGAATATCTGTTGGTAATTTACTTATTTCGTTTTGAGCCATTTCTGGCTCAAATTCAATCAGCAATCGATACGAAAGAGAATTAAAAAATATTGGCTCAAAACTGACTGAATCGTCTCCCGAAATTAATTCACTAGAGATAAAATACCATTTTATCGTCTTGTATAAAAATAACTATTAACGTTTGTTTAAAAATGAAAAAATCAACCCGGTTTAAAAGTATATAAAGAGAAAGTGGTTTTGTATTGTATTTTAATCGTTTATTATACAGGGTGAGTCTTAAATAAGTGCAAATATTTTCAGAGCTGGTATATATGGATAAAGGAAACATATTTTCTCTTTGCCATTTTTCAAATAAGTTCAAAATAACCGAGTAATGTTACTTTGAAAATTTCCAAAAAAAGTGATTTTTTTCTTAAATTATGGGAACCACTGGATCTTTTCTGTTTTTTTTTATTGTAAATTTAATCTACTACCTACCATATTACCCAGAAATTATGTTTTTAACTCAAAACTAAAAAAAAAATCAATTCGCGAAATTCCCAATACGCGAAAACAACTCATAATCGTGTTTCTGGGGTCAAAATAAAAAAAAATGCACTTATTTAAGACTCAACCTAGCATAAATATATTAAATTGTGTTAAAACTTTTACTTATATAATCTAATGAGCGATTTTATATTTATTTGACTTATTAACTCTTATTATCATCTACGTGCTTCTTTAATTGTATCTGATACATATCATATTTGATAAATAATTCGACCTAATCCTGCTACAGCAGAAATCAAGACTCGTGCACAATTTATTGGTTTATGGAAAAGCAATTTTTAACAAGATTATAACTCCGCATTGAACATAAAAAATGTATTAAAGGTAAAATTTATAATCTAGAAATATATCTAAATTCGAATTTTGTATGGAACTTTGGAGCAAGTATAAACGGGATTAACCATTTTAGAACAAGGAATTTTTTTATGAAGAATGCAATTTTTCAAAATGTCAATAATAAAAAAGGTTTTCCTCTTGCAAAGACAATCCGGGGACATACTGTATATATATCCAGAGTTACATAGAGAAATATATCTGTATCCCCTGCGATTTCTTCAATACTAATATACACACACCGGAAAAATCTAGGGATATCATTTTATTAAAGTTTCTTTTTTTTTTGGCCGATTCTTTCTACTTCGATTGAAACGAAGTAGTCAAACTAGTTATTTCGAAATTTGGGATATTTGCAGAAGTGTTTGTGCATTTTTTGTCAAATGTATAAAAAACACCTAGCATCAATTGTTCCAATTTAACCTGTACTGGCTATGTTTTTATTTGTAACTGGCCAGAATTCATTCAAATAACTCTGTTTAGTATTAAACGACATTATGGAGCGTAGACATCTTAACAGAGACGAAATGCTAAGGGCCATGACCGCTCGAAGCTGGAATGCGCCAAATCGACGTAGCTAGAGCATTAAACACAACGCAAAGTGTAATATCGCGATTAAGTGCACGCTACCGTGAAAGTGGTGATGTTGCTGAAAGGCACACAGGGCGACATCGCATTACTATCCCTCGGCAAGATAATTTTTTACAATTAAATGCTCGACGCCGACTGACTCTTACACGAGGGGTGTCTCACTATTGGAATTACCTGTACATTTTCTTGGCAGTCGCTGGCAGTCATTGGCAGTCTTATGGCAGTCACCTATAATAATTACATGGCAGTCATAGGCAGTCTTCTTCATAGTCATTGGCAGTCGCTTAGTAGTAGAAGGATATTTTGGCAGTACGTGTACATTTTTTACCCGAGTGAGACACCCCTCGCTCTTACAGCACCAGAGCTTAGTTTAATTCTCCAGGAAACACATAATGTAACCGTTAGTCCTGACACTGTTCGCAATAGATTAAGAGAGGTCAACTTAAGAAGCAGACGCCCCTGGAGAGCTCAACCCTTAACGAGAGGAAATCGAGAGGTACGATATTTGTGGGCTCAAGATCATGTTCAGTGGTCGAATGAACAATGGGCCAATGTTCTCTTCACGGATGAGTCACGCTTTGGAATTCATTCGGATTCGAGAAGTCTTAGGGTATGGAGTGCTCATCAATTAAGCATCTTACCCTGGCCGGCACAATCTCCTGACCTCAACCCCATCGAGCACGTATGGGACGCGGTCCAAAGAAGAATTTTGAGAATGAGTATGCCTCGTGAAACTCGTAGGGATCTGGTTCGGGCCGTGAATGCAGCGTGGCAGGCTGTGCCTCAAGAAGAGATCGACAACCTGATCAGAAGCATGGAGAGACGATGTAGGGCTGTAATGAACAGTAGAGGAGGCTATACCCTTTATTAAGTAAAAATGGTTTTATCTTTTTTTTTAATTCACAGTTTAGAATAAAAAAAAATGTGTGTATTTTTTTGAGTTCAATAAAAATCAAGGTAAATTTGAAAAATTCGGTAAATTTCGTATTTTTATTTCCAATACGTCCTGTAAACTGTTTGTTTATTTTAATTTTATTATATCAGAAATGCAAATAATAAAATTACTGACGATGGCTGGATAAAATTGTAATATCCCTAGACTTTTCCGGTGTGTGTAATATAGAATATAAAAATATTATTATTTAATTATTATATAGAATATAAAAAACTAGAAGGATATACAGGGTGGTCCGAACTGTATTCCGGAAACTTTGGCAGCATAAAAATTTGAAAAAAATCGAAATAAAAATGAAACTTCTACACCCTGCATCTTCGAAACTAAGCATTTTAGGACATACATTTATACGAACTTTTTTACTAATTTTCATCCACAGATTATGCTGCCGAAGTTTCCGGAATACAGTTCGGACCACCCTGTATATAAACAGCTACAAGAATATAAACCGCACACTAGAATATAAAAAATATAACCCCTACTAACCACATATTCTGACATAACTTAAACCTTTAAATACTGATTTTAAATCTTTTTTTTCTTTTATTTTCAGAAGAGAAAAATGAAATTGGTGCCTGGTCCACTACCCCCCATACCCACGACCACGTCGGGGTCGCTTCCCTTACCCCTCCCTTTCAGTCCGGACCTGTTATGGAGGTATCCCCTCAACTTCCCCTCGGTGGGCAGCCATCCCTCATCCCCCCTGTGGGACTACAAGAGCCAGTTGCCGGGAAGTCTTGCTACAGATCCGCGAGTATGGAGCAGGGAAGACGTAGCCACATTTTTAAGGTAGGTTTTGATTATTTTGTTGTTTCAATGCTGTTTCGGTGACCTCAAAATAATTAAAGTTGTTTTTTTTTGTTTCGATGTGGATCAAAATTAAACTCAGGTTTTTATTTAACGCTTTGTCGTGGCTAATATACAGGGCGAGTCTTAAATAAGTGCAAATATTTTTAGGGGTAGTATATTTCGATGATTATTATATAAGTAGCAGTAGTGTAGTAATTTACGAAATGTCGTAATGACGTTAACAATCTGTTTCATGTAGTTTTCACATGAAAAAAAGAGTAGGTCAATATACATACAACTAGACTTATATGGAATTACTCTTTATTTTTGACTAAATTTCTTGCAATGGGAAAAAATGGTATACAACTTTAAGATAAGGCTTTTTGTTTTGTAATGTACTTTTTGTTTTGTAAATAAACATGATAATAAAGAATAAACGACTGCTGCGATATTTTCTTTTAAATTTTGTGTTCAGTACTAAAATCACGATTGTCCGGTAATTTTCATTCAAACCAAAAAAAATTAAAAAATTCCTTATGTTGGATTAACAAATGTATAGAGGGGAAGAATTATTGCTCTCACCGAACAAGGAATGTTCCAGAGAGACGTAGCAGAGATAGTAGGCGTTACCCAGGGTGTTGTATCGAAAACATATGCAAGGTACTTGGAATTAGGAACACACAAGGATAGGCCCAGACAAACCCGTCAAAGAGTCACAACTGAACAACAAGACCGCCTTGTGTGCTATATTGCTAGAATAAATCCCAATGTTTCTTATCCAGAGCTACAAAGACAACTTCTGGCAGCTACAAGTGTGAACGTTTCAGTTGAAACCATAAGAAAAAGGCTTCGTGCACGAGGGTTTTACAGTAGGAGAGAGTTACGGATCCCACAGTTATCTCGGCAAAATAAAATTGACCGACTAAATTGATGCCTTCAACATCAAAACTGTTCTTTTTTCGGATGAGACCAGAATTGGCCTAAGATCAAATAACCATCGAATTCGGGTTCTCAGAGCTCCAGGAAGACGAGCGAGATTTCAGGCTGCCAAATCTGTACCAAGATATAAAGGAGGAAGTGTAATGTTCTGGGGAGGTATTATACTGGGAGTAAAAACTTCATTGTTACCACTTCAACAAATTTTAACCGGTCGGAGATATGTTGATTTGGTGCTAGAACCAATCGTTAGTCTTTGGAGAGCTACAATTCGGGATAATTTTAACTTCGTGCACGATAGTGCACCTCCCCATACCAGCAGAGTGACTAGAGAATGTCTTAAAACGGAAGGTGTCATAGTTTTGGACTGGCCTGTCTATTTACCAGATCTAAACCCTATCGAACACAAAAGAAGGGTTAGAGCTCGTCGAAACAATCCAGGAAATTTCGCACAGCTTATTCATGCAGCATTAGCAGAATGGGAAAACATACCCCAAGACAACGTTGATAATTTGATAAGAAGCATGCCAGTGCGGATAGAAGATTTGAAACAGTTGCGGGCATAACGCTTGGTGGTCGAGATAACAGGAGTGGGAAAGGAACGCTGCTGCATCGGTCGATTGTCGATGGAGGCTCGCAAAGGGTTGGAGAAGCAGTCATTTTAGATCCGTTGTTTTTTAACCTGTTACGAGCATAACAGAGCGGCGGTCGAGATAATCGGAGTGGGAAAGTAACGCTGCTGCATCGGTCGATTGTCGTTGGAGGTTCGAAACATGTTGGAGAATAACGCATCAGTTGTTTTAGATACATTGTTTTTCAACCTGTTACGAGCATAACGGGCGGAGGTCGAGATATTATGGCGCATTATGTTTCAGTACTTACTTATTAAGTTTCAATATTTAGGTATTTATTAATTCTGAAAAATTTTCAGAATAATATTTTAAGATTTTTTAAAAATGTATACAGGGTGTTTTGAAAAATCTGGTCATTGATTAATCACGATCCTGCTTAAAGCCCTTGAGTAAAAAGCTGATTTTTTGGAAAACGGATTGACTTTAGGGTGTAGAGGTTCGATAAGAAGGGATGTTTCGAAACTCGAATTCTAAGGGGGTGAAACCACCCTCAAATATTAGAATATTTTTTATTTAAAAACCGGTGAGTTTTTCGGAAAAACTCTTAAACACGTATATTTTATTTTGTTGTTTTACATGTTTTAAGATTTTTTATAAATTTATACAGGGTGTTTCATAAAATGTGACCATTGAGTAATCACGATTCTGCTTAAACTGCTTGATGTTTAAAGCTGATTTTTGGCAAACGGATTGACTGTGGGGTTGAGGTTCGATAAGGAGGGGTTTCTCGAATCTCAAATTCCAAGAGGGTGAAAACGACCCTCAAATACCGTATGATCGAATAAAAACGGCGTCAGCGATGGCTATGAAATGAAGATCGCTGTCATTTTATATGTAAAATTATATGGGAAATGTCATCGATCGTCATTTCCAAGTCAACTGGACGCCGTTTTTTTTTCGATCATACGGTATTACAATATTTGTTATTTAAAAAACGGTTAGTCTTTGGGGAAAACGCTTGGACACGCATAATTTATTTTGTTTTTTTACATATTTTGAAATTTTTTAAAAAATCATACAGGGTGTTCCAAAAAGTTGAGTAATTGATTAACTACGATTCTTCTTAAACTGTTCGACGTTTAAAGCTTATTTTTGGCAAATGTGACAAAATTTTATCCAGTTTGTATGTTAATGGGAAGTCTTGCTTTGCTCTATCATCACCATTACAAATTATTAATACGACGCGAACGAAGTCGCGGGTACACGCTAGTTTACGTGTAAAATTAATTCGAACTCTAGTGTGTAGTTTGTTTACTTATGAAGAATATACTACACATTTTCTTATATTGCTATTTTTTGACCGCAACCCCTGTACACTGCTACGCAATTCAGGATCTACGCGGATCGAGGGACAGGGCGTAGGTAGATCGGAATGTATAGGTATAGACGAGAGGCGGAATTTTGGCTTTTTTATATAGCAATTTGTAAACAGCGTTTATTTGTAATCAACCACCGTTTTTAGAGAGGTACTTTAGATAACAATCGATATTTAGAAATGTTTTGACACCCTGGAAATACTACCACCGAGCACGTCATTGTTGCAACTTGCGACTGCGTTAATACGCCTGGCGGTGACCGCCTCATACTCTTTCAGATATTTAGCAATAAAATAAAGAAACCTGTTATTTTTAAGCTGTTATTTTAAGCTGTTTTTTATAAATAACTATAACAGTTTCAACTGTTATCTAAAAATAACAATTTTGCACATCACTAGTTGTGGATTGTAATAGACGTAATAGAATACGATTGTAATAGTATACTATTTTTTGGAAACTAATTGAAATAATTTAAAAAATAATATCGTTGAAAATAATTTTATTAATTTCCTTTTTCTTAATTTTCAGATGGGCCGAACGTGAGTTTGACTTGCAACCCATCGACATGGAAATGTTCCAAATGAACGGTAAAGCAATGTGCCTTCTTACGCGAACGGATTTATCAGAAAGAGCACCCGGATCTGGCGACGTTTTGCACAACGTTCTTCAAATCCTAGTACGAGAAGCAAACAATATGGTAAGTCAACGAAATTTATTTTTGAGGCTAAATGAAGCTTAATTTAATATACCTAACTCTGATAATAATTAATAAATTTCGTTTATTTCAGAGAATGTTACCCAATAGCCCTATTACACCCACCTCAAGACACCCGTACCCCCTGTCACCTCACACGTCACAGCCTTCGTCGGCCAGTTGGAACGTGATCACGTCACAAAGCGCCTCAGACTACCACAACAATCATACGGCCAGTCTGGCGGCTCATTTGATGGCTCAGAGCAATTCTGTCACTCTCAGTCCCGCCCCTTCGCTGGACAGCCAATCAGGTAATTAGCAAAACTTACTAAAAGAAGTTATGCCTAGGATGCCTAACAATGACTAAGGAATATAAGGACGAATAACACCTCCGACCAAATTGTTACTATACCACCAAACAGTGCCGTAGCACATATTTTTCTTAACATAGCCGCTTGAAGAGATATTTGTATTTTTGATAAATATTTTGGCTACGCCTATAGTGTATGCGGTGGTATCATACTAATTAATTACGAAAAAACGTATTAAAATGTTAACAAAAGGTACAAAATTAAAAGGTAAATTATCGAATTCGATAAGAAAAACGCCTAAAATGTGGACTGGACTGTTTATTTTCCTATAAAACGTAACTCCTGGCTCTTTCTTATCGCTGCGGGTTTTACACTTGAAAGCTGAACAACTAATCAGCATTTTAATAAAGTTTATACAAAGTTCACTACACACCAATTACTAAAAATCGCTAAAATTATCGCTGATGACCAGCCGATGACTCATTCGTTACCACCAAAATAATGGCGTCTAACACCACAAATTCTGCTGCAGCTCGTATATGGGCGTTACGTGTCCTTGTATTCTTTATTAGTCATTGATGCCTAATTTAAAAACTATTGAATTATAATAAAGCAATAATTCATATACCACTACGCATACACACGCTACATATACACGCTTTTTCGCTAACTATATTAGCATCATCAGCAGATAACTCACACTCACATGAGCTTTAATCAAGTAAGGTAGTTGCACTCTCTTGTTTTGATGATTCCGGTTTTCTTTTTGTTAGGACACTTCTCAGTACTTGTAGTACTCTAGCACAGGACTGTTCTCAGTACTCTAGCAAGCTTTAATTTCCTTTTTTCTCTATTTCCAGGCAGTCCAAACCACCCCGATACGCCAATGAGCTTCGGCCATTCCATCTTCAGCACGAATGGCGGTAGCAGTTCTAACGGTTCGGGTTCGAATCCCAGCGACAGCGACGAAGATGACAAGTTCATAGAGTCGAAAAACGGGTACATGGGCAGTCCCCCAAATACTCCAAGCTACATGAACATACCACAGATGCCTTTTTTGACGCCGAGAAGTCCCAAACAGATGGAGAATGTGGGAAGTCCCGGTTTATACAAAAGGGAGTTCTTTGCTAGCAACGATGGATCAGAACCCAATACAAGTAAGTCATTAATTAAAAGCAATTTTAGATTTAGCAAGGCTTTGAGGTACTAAGTTTATGTTGTGCCAATAAAGTATGCATTTTAAACTTAAAAATAACTTTTCTTCCAGATGGAAGACTCCTTTGGGATTTTCTTCAACAACTTCTCAATGATCCAGCTCAAAGATACACCAACTACATCGCCTGGAAAAACAGAGACACCGGCGTATTCAAGATCGTAGATCCAGCAGGACTGGCCAAGTTATGGGGCATCCAAAAGAACCACCTATCCATGAACTACGACAAAATGTCCAGAGCTCTGAGGTACTACTACAGAGTGAACATTCTACGAAAAGTACAAGGAGAACGCCATTGTTACCAGTAAGTATAGAAAAATATTAGCTTCTTTTATAAATATTTCATTATTAACTTAAAAAACTGCTTAGACAGCAAAAAATACTTAAAGTTTCAAGAAGTATATCTCCCCCTATCACCTAAAAAATGCGAGAAACCCAGTATAAGACACAAAAACGGGACACCCTGTACAAATAATCTAGAAAAAAGTATTACAGAGAATAACACATTTTTTTCTTTTTGCAGATTTTTGCGCAACCCTAGCGAACTAAAAAACATCAAAAACATCTCCCTCCTGAGACAGCAGATGTCCCCAACAACGAAAGCTCCTACCCAAATCCAAATGATACCACAAATAACTATCAAACCCGAGCCAATGGACCAACAGAGCAAAGAACAACCCTCCCAACACGATCTGGCAGCCCTTCCACCTCACTTGAAGCTGACCGAAGTCCAGAAATCCAACATGGCGGCTTTGGGTCAGCAATCCAACACGACGGCGCCACACGAGGCGAAGAGCGATGAGCGCAGGCGCGTGGACTACCGACACGATCATGAGACACCCACCGATTTAACCATGAAGGGGGGAGCAACGGATTTAAGCAGTAACAGCAGACACCACGTGAACATCGTTTGTTCGCCTGATCCGCCCATCACAGGGCCGAGTCATTAGTTGTTTTTTTGGGTGAAAAATTCAATCAAAAAAGGTCCAAGAAAAGTTTTTTACGTTAATTTTCGCGTAGTAGTTTATTTTTTTTACTTATTCTAAAGTAAGACTCAAAAAGTGCCAATAGAGAAGAGATATATATGTTATATATAGTGATTGTTAATTTGAAAGGGAGAGTGTAAATAATATGGACAATAAGGAATCATAGAATTAAGAATGATTGTAGAACTTGTGCAATTGAAAACGGTTTTTAAATATGTGCCAAAATATAGTAAGTTATATTTGTTTTTTCTTTTTGATTTAACAGTTTTGTGCAATAGGGTTGTGAAAGCGTCAAAACCTATATTGATTCACATTATGCAATTTTCAGTGAAAGTAATTAATATCTTCTCTTAACATAAAATAATTTAAAATCAATTGCTGTAATAATGAAATAATGTTTTCTTCAACTTTGATTTTCATTAAAAACAGTATTAAAAAACTATTCTAAACGTGTAGTTATGAAGTAAGAAGTCTCAAAACAACGTTTTACTTGATTCTAAAGTCTAGAACCAAGTATTTTACTTGAGTCTAAACCCATTTTTTTCCTGGTATAGATTTCATATAATCTTGATTGTCAGAGACCTTTAGAATCAAATTTTCCTTCATAATAGGACCTTTTGTAATCAAGTTTTGCTTGATTCTAAACTTTATAGTAAAGTAAAATATTTAATTTAGAATTAAGCAAAACCTAGACTCTAAATTTTAGACTGGATTCGAAATTTTAGTCTGAAGTAAAACTTTATTCTAAAATATTTTACTTAATAGGTACCAGGCATGAAGATTTAAACTGAAGAAAAGTAGTTTATTTTTGTTTAGAATCAAGTTTTACTTGATTCTAAAAAATAAATAATGTCAATTTTTCTTGACTCTTCAACATTTCTGTTGGGTACTAATAAGAAAAAAAATTTAGAATCAAGTTTTACTTGATTCTAAAAAATTAGAATCAAATTTTGCTTGATTCTAAAAATTTAGAAATAAATTTTACTTGATTCTAGAACTTCTTGAATCAAGTTTGGTTAAAAATTTTAGTTTAATACCATTTGTTCTTGATGTCAACTGGAGAATCCATTTCAACACATTAATAGTTTATTTGCTATTGGTTTTAACTTCTTTGTTGTTAATTTCAAGTATATGTGATCTTTCTTCTGACGTTTTATTATCCTATGTGCAACATTGGCAGCTTTAAATATAGAGAATTATCATTTTTTTTTGGTTTAAAACAGATCATCTACTACGTTTTATCTTATTGATTAAGTTAAACAGATGATCTAGTTTTTTCTTTAAATCTATATACAACGACAATAATATTTAAAAAAATGAAGGTACAAAAAGTAGGACTGGAATGTTTTTAAAACTCCACAAAAAAATACAAACGCAACAACGAATTTACTGGTCAAAAAATTATATTATATCAACGAAAAATGTATTTTAAAACTGCCGAATTATTTTTGACTTGTGAATGAATATTTTTATACACTTAACATAAAAAATATATGTAAAATAAACACATTCCAATTTACAAAAAAAAGAAATGTTGTGGCTTTAAAAAAAGAGTGTTTTAGAAGAAAAAAATATAAGAAAAATCATTTTTATATAATGTAAAATTTAAGAATTTGTGGCTGATTTCCAGCTCTTGCTCCTGTGATCTCTAAACATATGACTCAATTTAAGTGTGATTGAAATAAGAGACGAAAGAATTAATATTGTTATATTTACACTGACGGAACTTTATTTGTAGATAAAAATATTTGGAGTTGAAAGACAAAAATTTTTTGACAATATACTATGATAAAAAAAGAAATTATAGATAATAAAGAGCAGGGTCTTTTATTATGAATTGTACATAGATTTGTTATAGGTGAATTTAAAATAAAGTAATTTCTTCAGTATATTTAAGTTGTTTTATTTATTTGTGACATCAGGATCACATCACCCTGAATATCAAAAAATAAGTTATCGCCTTTGGTTATTACAAAACGTTTCACCATTGTGTAATAAAATAAAAAAAGAATAATTTTAGTTTAAAAGTGTATTATAAGCTAAAAACATTAGAATCAAATAAAACTAGATTCTATATTTTAGCATCAAGTAAAACTTGATTCTAAGTTTTAGCATCAAGTAAAACTTGATGCTATGATGATTTTAGAAATTTTTACTTAGTAGGTACCTGGCATAAAGGTTTATAGTCATGAAAATGTCTTTATTTTTGTTTAAAATCAAGTTCTACTTAGTAATAGAGCCTTTTAGAACAAGTTTTGCCTGATTCTAAACATCAAGAAAAAATATTTAGTTTAGAATCAAGTAAAAACTAGATTCTAAATTTTAGAATCAAGTAAAACTTGGTGAGATCCGCTTTAAGTTGGGTCCCACTTGGGCGTTTTAGCATCAAGTAAAACTTGATTCAAAAAGCTTTTACTTAGTAGGTATAAAGGTTTATATAGTCATGAAAATGTATTTATTTTTGTTTAGAATCAAGTTCTACTTACTAATAGAGCCTTTTAGATCAAGTTTTGCTTGATTCTAAACATTAAAATGAAGTAAAAAATTTAAGCTTAACTATTCAGTAAAACTTGGAGAGTTCCGACTTAAGTTGGTTCCCACTTGAGGCGTTTTAGCATCAAGTAAAACTTAATTATAAAAGATTTTACTAAGTAGGAATCTGGCATAAAGGTTTATAGTCATGAAAATGTCTATTTTTGTTTAGAATCAAGTTCTACTTAGTAATATAGCCTTTTAGATCAAGTTTTGTTTGATTCTAAACTTTAAAGTCAAGTAAAAAATTTAAGCTAAACTATTTAGTTTAGAATCAAGTAAAAGCTAGATTCTAAATTTTAGAATCAAGTAAAACTTGATGATTCCGCTTTAAGTTGGTTCCTACTTGGGCGTTTTAGCATCAAGTAAAACTTGATTCTAAAAGCTTTTACTTAGTAGGTACCTGGCATAAAGGTTTATAGTCATGAAAATGTCTTTATTTTTGTTCAGAATCAAGTTCTACTTAGTAATAGAGTCTTTTAGATCAAGTTTTGCTTGATTCTAAACTTTAAAATCAAGTAAAATATTTAACCTAAACTATTTAGTTTAGAATGAAGTAAAAGCTAGATTCTAAATTTTAGAATCAAGTAAATCTTGGTGAGTTTCACTTTAAGTTGGTTTCTATTTGGGAAACAGAACGGTTCTGGTCCACTAAGTGGAGTGTTCGCATTTTCTAGCTAAATCGTTTGCTTTTTCGTTACCTTCGATCCCTTGGTGTGTAGGAGGTCTTTATTTCCTTTGCCTAATATGTTAAAAGATTAATGCATTATTAACACTTCTAATTTTATTATATTTATATTTGTTATACGCGTGTGAAATTCTTTAAGTCACTTAAATTATTATATTTGTTTGCTATTTTAGATAATGTTTTTGTTATTCAGCATTGTACAACACAAACCTTTTAACGGAAGTAAGTCAAGCCGAATGACAAATATAATAAAGAATAATAACCTCAGTATTTTCCTACATGATTTGAGACTATTTTTAATGCATTCACACCTCTTAAAAATAATCGTTGTAAAACCTTAGACAAAATGGAAAAATATATCCTTTCCCACATGGCTATATCAATATAGGTGTTTGCTATAAGTGATTCTAAATATTTACTATAAAGATGTAAGTAAAATAAATCCGTATTTTTACACAAAATAGTGATGATTTACATGAAATGCTAATTTTCAAGGTGTTTTCGTTGCTAGAGTTTTAAAGGAATCTACAGGGCAGCAAAAAATATTATATTCAAAGATATATCTAAAAAGTAATACAATGAAAAGTGATCCAATAGAAATTATTATATTAAAAAACACGCTAAGAATAAACATAGAACAAATTCAAGAAACAGGAAAATACTAAAGTTGAACATATCATCTTGAAAATAATTGTAACTCTGTATTAATAATTATTGTCTATCGAAGAACGTAAAATTCAAGGGTTTTGTCGGACTGGCCAGCATCAAATTCGAACTGGACACCTCCCCATAATTGTACTCAACATTAAACTTCTTCAGCAACTTCACAGTGAGCAAAGCGACTTCAGTCTCAGCCAATTCCCTGGCTTGACACGATCTGGGACCATGTCCAAAAGGCATTGTTGCAAATTCTTGCAATTCCTTAGCCAAAACACCTACTTCTTGAGACAACCAGCGTTCAGGACGGAACTTGTGAGCATCTTCAAAGTATTCCTCCCTCAAACTAGCCAAATGTGCTGCTATAAGCACGTAGGTTCCTTTGGGAATGAAATACTTATGGATCACGGTGTTTTCAGCTAGAATTCTGTTCAATATCGGAATTGGTGGAGCTAGACGAAGACTCTCTTTGATACAAGCTTGCAAATAAGTCATTTTCTTCAAATCAGCAGCACTTAACTCCCTCTGAGGCAGTCTGGCAATCTCTTCCTGGACTTTTTTCTGACATTTCGGCGATTTTGACAGGTGATATAAAAGAAAAGCCACCGAATGGGCTGTAGCATTCGCTCCGATAATGAACATGTCCAAAAGAACTGTCATGGCGTCTTCTATCAAAATATCCTCGTTCAATAACAAACGATCGATCATAGAAAAATCGTTGATGTGCGGTTTCAGGTCTTTTTTCTCTCTGAGCGCTGATTGAGCCCTTTCCACGTATTTGCTCAGAATTGAGTCGATGGAATCGCAGTTCTTCACCAACGAGCGCCAGGATGGAGTGTCGATGAATTTCCAAATGTGGAAGCCTGGAAAATAGGGTTAAGGGTTTGTGGAAAATACAGGATTAGATGTTAGATTCAGTGAATAAAAAAGATTAAGGAAGAAGTAATATATCTACAAACTTGGAGAGACCGCGATAGTGTTTCAATATGGCTGACTGAAATTCCGGTTTTATCGTGGTAAAATTTGTATTTCTTTTACTTTAGAGTTTTTTCTTACTTTACGTTGAATCAATAAATATTATTAGTTATTAAAATTGCGAAAAGAATATAATTCTAGTAAAAATATAGAGTATGTCCCCGGATTGTCTTTACAAAAGTAAAACTTTTTTATTTACATTTTGAGAAAAATGCACTTTTCATAAAAATTTTGTCTTGCATTTTTAATTACATTTACACTTTTCTAAATTTCCATATATAGAGAAAACTTAGAAAAACATGAAAATATGGTGTAATTTCCTAAAAATCAAAACGCATATGGTAATATAGTTTCGTTTTCATCAAGACAATCCGTAGACACTGTATATGTGTGTATGGGGGAAATAAAAATACAGATAGCTTCTGAAACAACTAAGTAAAAATAAGGTATCCTAATTACTTTTAACAAGAATAGTAATAAATTCGAAAATTCAAGAATAAAAACATTAACAAAGTTAACAAATTCCATAATTTATTTGTTTACGACCTGCTTAACCAATTATTATAAAATAAACAAAAAATAGTAAAAAAAATAAACACGAAAAAGTGCAACTGGCATAATTTAAACTGGCCAGAAAGGCTAACAAAAATTACTAAAACTTATTCAAAATGGCTCCTTCCTTAGTTTATTTTATTCAATGGTTAGAAAATTCAAATTTTATTACCGAATTCGCATTTTCTTATGGCATCTGTGGCACAGTTGACGCTATCCAGAATTCTGCCTGGATCAGAAGTGGGACTTAAGCCAGTTGGATCAAGAAAACCAAATTTTCTAAATATATAGAAATACAGATCTTAGAAAGTATTTTATGCATGAATCAGTGGCGTGCACTGTTAATCAACGCGGATTAGGCAAAAATAGCATAAGTAATTCATTAAGTTTTAGTGTGTAAAAATAGACCGTTCAGGGAAGTCGCTTACTCAGTCACTCAGCCGTTGACCGTCCCTGAACACGCTCAATGTAACTATTTTTACTCTAAATTGGGGGAAAATCTCAAATTTGGCATCACTGAGCAAGAAAGCGGTAGACACCGACGAAATTAAATCACGCGATACTTCTATATTCTATCTCCTTCTTCCACATTGGTCTTCTTTCTTATGCACGCCACTACCCTCAGCAGGCGGATGAAACTGCCATTTGAAATTTGGAAACACGGCGGAGTTTCTGCCAGTAGAGGGATAGATGGCGCTGCGTAGAAATTTCATCTAAAGTCCCTAGATATTCATCTAGGGACTTTAATTTCATCATGATTTTATCACGTCATCCACAGAGTTTAATTAACAATTCGTTTGATTCTCTGTGGAGTAATTGGAGTAGTTCGAGTAGTTGAAAAATATAAATATTTATATAAAATGTTGATAATTTAACAGTGATGTGCTTTGTTACCCTATGAATAAACATTGATATGAAGTTGCTTTCGCCAGAAACAATTATAATTAAATAATTTAATAAAAATTTAATTTCTAAGTGACCCGGATCAGTTAGATCAGTAAAATAAATTGAAAATAAACGTCATTCCATATTTGGCAATGTCTGTCAGTTTCTGTGAAGTGGAAGTGAATTGTGATTTGTTTTTATGGGAATATTTTACGGATTTTTGCGAATTTAGAGTATTTTGGACGATAGGATTGTGAAATTTAAAAGCCAAGTAGTTTAATATATAAGATTAATTAATCCCTGTGATAATTTTTATGAAATTTCTCATAATCAAAACAAATTCTTTCAACAAAATGGCTGTCTCAGAAATTTGGAAGATCATTAATTTTAAAGTTTTATTTAAGTGTATTTATATCGAATCAAGAATTTGTATAACATATTAAAAGCTTAATTTTAAAGGTTGTGCAGTAATTTATGTAAGTGTACGCTTTTAGATAAATATTAAATATACAAATTTGCAAAGACAAACAAGTAATTTTAAAAAGATCATTTATTTATTTAAACGAGTATAATCATTAATCATTAGGTTGAAAATATATTTGTATTTACTTATTTATATATTTTCTATACCCTTGTATTATTTATAAGCCCTATATGTCCTGTTTTATTTGAAAAAAAAATGCTTCGAGTCATCGAGAATAGATTTAATAACAATTTTGTCCCTTGGCTTTGTGTATTATATAATGTGAATTGTAAGATGTTTCTATTTGAATAGGTCATTAAAGTTGAGATTAAAGTTATACCAAATTATATTCACGGTAACTATATGTCTTTTATATAATGAATTATTTATTTATAATTTATAACCTTTTTTATAATTACTTATAACTGATTGTATAAATTCTGATAACTTTTATATATACTTGTATAGTGTTGAATGTGTTATATGTAATTTTATTAACAATGTTATAATAAAATAATCAAGTTACAAATTTTTCGTGTTTTATTCTAATTTCAGGGATAATTTCAACCTAGATTATTAATTTATTTGTATCAAAATACATTATTTTTATTTTGTAAAATGTTTTGTTACAAATAAGTTCATAATCTAGATTGAAATTACCAAATATAAGTAAAAAACTTATGAACTGGCAGTAAAGGTCCATTTAAAAATATGGCGCGAACTTTTAGTTCTACCAGTAGCCCGCTTGGATCGCGTCGAGCGCGTGTTTCCAGGCTTTAACATAGGAGTTTTCATTTCTTTCAGTTAGTTATTCTATGACCCTCAGTATCAATTATAAATCGATTAATAATTACATATTATATATTTTACCTGTTGAGTGTCACTGCACACATGCACTCCAGACACCATTTCAAAATTTCGTCTTTGAAAGTTTTCGGCATTTCGTCTTGCAAATTCCGAATTGCCAGTGTTCTTTCCACGAATTGATCGCAAATATTGTCGATGGTTTTGAAATATTTATCCACGGACGATTTCAAAGGCTGTTCCAGTGATTCGTGGATTTTTTCCCAAGCCGAACCAGACCTGAAAATAATAATTGAAAAATTACACAATTTCACAACCAACAAACACAAATTGTCACGGAACTACGCCTAAAAATTACTCTTTTTGAGCTATCAAATGGTCAGTCTAAAACTGCAAAATAAAGAATGTTATTTTCTTAAGAAAATAAAAAATAAAAACTTTATAAAATTCCTTCACCAAATTGTCCGATTCATAATTTCCAAACGCGGTATATTCAAACTTCAAACTGTCCAACCGCCGAGCGCGGGCCTTTATATACCCCTGCTGACTGTTTCTCGAACCTTCTGTAATTTTCGATACTTTTCTGCCATCTACCAGTAAATTCTATTGCTTTATGCGCGTACTTGTCGACTTGAATAAGAGATGGCGCCTCAACAAAATGTCTTCAGATTTCTTCACAATGTAGGCAACCAGCAATACACGTTTTAGTTACTCGCTTCTCCGACAGATGGCGCCACATACACCTTGACAATATCTTCCCGGCGTTGCCGGCTTGCTCGAACATGTGTTATTATCAGGGTTCGGAAGTAGTTAATTAAGACGTAGTTTACCTGATTAACTACGTGTAGTTTTTCTTCAAAAACTACGTTTTTTCCCGTTCATTAACTACATGAAAACTACGTTAATAAACTACTATTGATATTATAAATAATTTTGCTTTGTATGAGGAGTCTAAATAATATGATGTGAATGGTTATATTTAAAGCCATATTTCTTCTGTTTTCTTAAATACATTATATGTTTTCTCAAGCTTCAACTTATTATAACCTCACCTCAAACCTTTGACATTTGAAAGTTACATACATATGTTACATAAACTACACCCTCTACATAAACTACATTAACTACATGTAATGTAGTTTATGTAGTTTTCCGAACCCTGGTTATTATAATACAGAGCCAAACCAAACATTTCAGGTAACCAAACCAAAACAAAAAATATCATAAAAGTACTTACATTAAAAATGGCCCAGCCTGTCTCAACCTCCTATGCTCCAACCTGTACTTCTCCACGGAATCCAGACAGGCCCTCACAGGCTGCTTCCCCTCATTCTTAAACACTAGACTAGCGTGTTCCGGCCGGGACAACAGTACCACATCCCCACCAAAGGGTCCGTGAAGACGTACCACCGGACCATAAACATTGAAAAACTTCTGGAAAAACCGCGTGTTGCCTCCCCAGCTTAGCAGGTTGCCTAAAAGACCATATTCCTCTTTTATTTCGTTTGAAAAAGTATCAGATGTCGGGTAAAAAAACTCACCAAAAAACTTGCCTAAATTCATGACTTGGAACAAGGCGCCTGCAGTGAATTCAGTGCTGAGAGACGGTACGTAGGTCCACATTTTTGAGATTATTCTCAAAGTGTTCGGTCCAGGAACAGCGTCGAACGAACTGATGTTTTTTGGGATTGAAATGGCATCGACTGCGGCTAATTTAATTTTTGGTATCGGTTTAGTTTCCACTATAATTTAATATCAAATTTTACAGACTAGATACAGGGTGGTCCGAACTGTATTCCGGAAACTTCGGCAGCATATTCTGCAGATAAAAATAACTAAAAAAGTTCGTATAAATATATTATGTCCTAAAATGCTTAGTTTTGGAGATACAGGGTGCAGAATTTTCATTTTATTGCAAAAAATTCCTGAAGTAATGTCAATATTTAGATGAAAATTGGGGTCTAGGAGTTTTTTGACTTGAGAAATTTGATTTTGATGTCAATATGACTCCTATTTGTAGGGGGCCAACTACATGTGTTTTAACCTTTGAATAAGAAGACTAAGGAAAGAGCATATCAAAAATCTTAGGTACACCGCGATAGGCCTCAAATATGGCCGACTTAAATTCCGGTTTATCAGTGTCGTTCTAATTTTATTTAAAAAATGTAAAACTATGATATAGGGTAGACGTGGGGTACACTCAATAATTTGTTGTTTTATTTTACGTTGTGAATAAATGTTGGTAGTTATTAAAATTGTTATAAAAATATATAATTCTAATAAAAATAGATAAGTTATAATAAGTATTTATTAACACAAACATCCGATACGCTACTGAAGCAGGTAAGTCAAATTAACGTATCTAAATTCTTTGACATCTAAATCTTTGACAAGTAATAAATAAAAGCAAAAATGCAAGAAAAATATATAATTTATTTAATTTAAGTGAATTTCATAAATGATCGGTTTACTACACGTATGTATATTATATAGTCACTTACTAGCGAAAAGTTGTTCCATTATTTCACTAAATTTTTGCCGAGATCTACCGCACGCTACACAACCAACTATTTTAGAATCTTTTTCGATAAATCGCGATAGTGTCACTGTTAATTTAAGTTCTGCCACAATTTCCATCTAGATTTACTACCTTTATACAACTATCAGTAGTAGAATAAATAATAAATAACATAAAATAAGCTCCGTAAAGACTGACAAATCCACAAAATTTCAAATCAAATTCAAATGTGTCAAATGAATCGTCAAACAGAACTGTCAAGGATCCCCACCCTAGAGTGCTTTTATGGCGCTTTTTCCGCCCACCATGCATGAATACATGGATAGCATTATGCTCCTTCCTTAGTCTTTTTATTCAAAGGTTTTAACTGCTTTGAAGAGTAATAACTTTTCGTCCCTTCCTGTATAAAACTACTGAGTGAAAAAATATACATTTCCGTGATTTTTTACGTTAAAAATGTTGGTAAATTGCTACGAGCAACCGTTCTCAAGATATTTAAAATGGAAATAGTCAATACATGTCATTATTGACAAAAATAAAATGTTGAGTAGATATATATTATTTGACTGAACTTTTTATTTATTTAAATTAATCATAAATTTTTTTCGAAAAATTGTTGATAAAACAGTTTCTGTTGAACTTTTGGCACAAAAACATTTCAAATTTATGATTTCAGTCTAATAACTATATATTTAGTCAGGATGTTTAATTTATATGTTTATGAAGACAGGTATTGATAATTTCGACTACAAATATCTCGAGAACTATTACTCGTAGCCCTTTTAACCAAGATACCTTTTTGACGTAGAAAATCACGTATATTAAATGTATATTTTTTCACTCAATACAGGTTCGGACGAAAAGTTATTACTCTTCAAACCAGTTAAAAAATATGTAGGTGGCGCCCTCTACAAGCAGGAGTTATATTGACATCTAAATCAAATTTCTCATGTCAAAAAACTCCCAGACACTAATTTTTATCAAAATATTCACGTTACTTCAGAAATTATTTGGAAAAAATCGAAATAAAAATTAAACTTCCACACCCTGTATCTCCGAAATTAAACATTTTAAGACATACATTTATACAAACTTTTTGACTTACTTTTATCTGCAGAACACGCTGCCGAAGTTTCCGGAATCCAGTTCGGACCACTCTGTATAGCGTCCTGCAAAAGTGCGTCGCGTCGGGCATCTGTAGCTCCTATGATAAAAAACTTTGGCCGGGCAAACATTCCTTAACCCACAAATTTCCAGATTTTTAAAAAACTTCATTTTTTAAAAAAAAGTCGTATTTTCATTAATAAGAGCTCATCTGTCAAGATTTTTTTAACAGTTTTTCTTAGAGTGTCTTTAATCAAAAAATCTTGACATATAAGCTATTATTAGTGAAAATATGAACAAGTTTGTAAAAATCTGGAAATTTTTGGGATAAGGAATGTTTGCCCGGCTTTTTTTATTATCATAAAATATGAAGACTTGAAGTAAATAATGTTAATAATAAGTGCCAAAAAAACGATTTGCAATGTTTTATTTGTAAAATGTTCTAAGTTCCAGAACCAACAACATATATAAATCGCTAAGTGCCACGGCTATTTAACTGTATTAAGAAAAAATCTCAACAGAGCCACCCTCCGTTCTTATACATTGGTTATATAACAAAAAATGTTGTTTATCTCAAAATATTGATTTTGGCACTTAGAGCATTATTTACTTCAAGTCTTCATATGACAAAATTCAAACAAGATACAAAATGTAATAGCTGTTGATTCTACCTTATGAACATTCGCGTATTTATCAATTTATCAATTTATCCTGGGGGGCCCGGGGTTGAGGTCAGGGGGGAGGCCTAGGGCTTTTGTTTTTTTAAAATGAAAAATAATTTTAAAAAGCACATTTTTTGAATAAAACGTTCACATGAATTTCTCTATCAATAAATTTCATATACTTGGTTATCAAACCGTGATCCCGTAGATTACTTAAATACCTACAAATTTTCTAAAAAAATAAAAATTAACACATTTTTGAACACAACAAAATAATATCAACTAAACAAAATTAGAAAACGTCTTTTTTACTGCATCACAAGCAAATAAAAATTAATACGTAGCCAAGAGTCATAAGTCAGGATTTCCCTGGGGGGTGCCCAGCAGTAGATGGGGGGGGGGGGGCACCCCCGGCACCCCTGTAGTTACGCCAATGCTTATGAATCAACTTTGAATCGTTAAAAAATATTAAATTTTAGCCGAGTTACAAAACAATTTGTCCTATCAATCACTGATACAATGATACAATGCTTATGAAATCTATCTTGGGAGAGAAAATTCAGGGATTTTCGAAGCGGAATATCTGGAAAACTAATAATTCTACGTTCATTTCAATAAATTCAAATAATTTTCCACCGACTGTTGCGCCATCTTTTGCCTCTAAACAACACCAACAAAAATCAATAATATTGATTGATAATGATTCTTGTTTAATTACAAAAATTAAAGCGTTAAACTTAGTAATAATATTATAATTAAAAAATTAAGGGTAAGTAAGTTATAGTTACTCACCTGCTTTTTTTACGTCGATTATAACGGGTGTTGGCGGAATATCATCCACAACTGCGGCTGTCGGGGGGGCTTCAGCGGCTTTCGCTTCCGTAGCATAATTTACCCGGTTAATTTGCAGGATTTTTATAACACTTCTAGCCCCATTAATCGAAAACTGGCGCATTTTTTCGCAAAATCCAAATTATTTTTGCTTCAAGCTGCGACGGTTGACTTTAGAAGCGTCACCGGATGTGCCAAAATGGCGGTTGGTTTAAATTTGAATTCATGGCCAATATGACGTGCATATAAGCTGGTTTCTGAGATTTGTTGGTATTTTAAATATTTTTATATAAGGTAAAATAGTTTTTAATTAGAAAATTGCAAGAATATCGTACGCATTTAAGTTATATTTTAAAAATATTGACACAGTATCCAATAAAAATTATTTATTTCTTTATTAAACATGTATTTGTATAGTAGTAAGGTTTATTATGACTCCCATGTATATTTTTACCACAATATGATAAACTAAAATCTCATAATTCATTTTATATTAAAAGAATAAATAACTAACACTTCGATATTATATATTTATACAATTTAAATAAAATTTATTAACAAAAACACATAAACGAAACAGAATAAAAATATTATATAATATTGAATAATTTATATTAACTTATTTTACTGGATTTTTCAAACTAACAAATATTTTTGTACATCTCAAGTTTGTACAAAAATCATTAATAAAATTTCCTATTGAAGTGTCTTTTTCTGATTTTTTTGATTCAAACAAAATAACAAAATAAATATTGGGCTCCACCATTGAAAGAAAATATGTGCATTGGTCCTAAAAAGATATTAAAATATATTAAATTTAATATTATACAAAAAATAAATTATATAAAAAACGGCGTCATAGTGGCCTTTGAAATGAGAATTAGCGATTAAGTTTTTAGGGCAATTTTTAATAAAAAAACATACATACTACATCACTCGATCCTATAAAAATTAACAGCGTTCGTCATTTCAACGCCTACTATGACGCCTTTTTTTATTGTTCTATATACTTTTTTATACGTTTAATATTGTGTATCAAAAATAGGTATAATAAATTTAACGTATTATTAAAAGAAAAAACGGCGTCATAGTGACCTTTGAAATAACAATTAGTGATAAATTCAGTTTTTATGGCAACTTTTAAATAATATACACAAATATAAGTCGGCCCGACAAAAATTAACTTCAAAAATCAACGGCCACTTTGACACCGTTTTTCTTTAATTATTATTGCACAGTTAACTTTTTCTGTACGTTTAATGTTTGTTTATCTATCAAAAATAAGTAAAATAAATTTATGGTATTTTCGGAAAAAAAAACGGCGTCATACTAGCCTTTGAAAATGGCAATTAACAATAATTTCTCATTTTTAAATATTATACTGTTATGATCGAAAAAAACGGTGTCATGATGGTTTGGACATGACGATCGACGATATTCCCCATATAATTTTACATATAAAATGACAGAAATCTTCATTTCCAAGGCAACACTGACGCCGATTTTTTTTCGACCGTCTGGAATATGAGTTGGATTTATAGAAATTAACATCGTTCGTAATTTCAACGCCTCCTTTGACGCAATTTTTTTTTATTCTATTTTCTATTATCTTTTTTATTTATTTTTTTTATATTTACCTGAGATCTAAACTTTGTTATGGGTCTGTTTAAATTTAACAACTCTGTGGTTTCAGAAATCATCTTTAATATTGTGTCCAACTGTTTTGGACTTCTCTAAAATATTAAAAATAATTATAATAAAATTAATATAAATAATAAAGTCTTCATAAAAAAAATAATACTTACAGGAGGATAAGACACAATTATTGGAAAACTATCATAATCATCAATATCCTCATTTACTTTATTATCGGATAACAAAATTACACAGGCTGCTTCAAACTTTTTTTGAAAAGAAACCATCCTAAAAAACATTATTTTTTAAAATTTAAAGTTTTAAAAAAATAATTAATATTACTTTTGGTAATAGTCGTTTTGTAACTTTGAACAGAGATGACGCATATCGTTTGGAGCTGTCTGATTGGCCAAAATATCATGAAAATACAAACTAAACTTGCTTAAAACTGATCCTTTTAACTTTTGCAACCACAAAAATAATGCCGGCAAAGGACTATTTTTAAATAATCCCAATTTCCATGTCTAAAAATATCAAATTTAATTATTATTTATTTTTATTTTATTTTTTTTATATTTATTTTATTTTTTTATTGTTTTTTAGTTACCTCTCTTTGCATTCTACTCTCCCACGCTCCTAAAGTAGTATGGGCTCCATGAATTAAAGCTAACGATAACAAAAACTGTAGTCTATTAAGTTCATACATAGCTTTAAATAACTGTTGTAGTACTTCGCATTCAAAACTAAACACCGTTTTCACAGGAGTGAGACAAATATTCGTGAAACCAAAGTGGTTATTCTGTATAATTGTTTCTATCACATTTAAGATATCTATGTAAACAATATGTTTGTTTCCCATGGCTAGATTGTAAACTTTTTCATATCTAAAATAAACATTTAGATTCTGTTCAAAAATATCACTATAAAAACTTACAAATCGATTAAATTGACTCTAGCATTGAGAAATTGCATGATATTTTGACAGTAATTTTGTAATTCCTGATATGAATTCTTACATCCATCCTCAATTTTTTTAAGATCGTTTTTCATGGTTTCATAAACAGATCTTAATGAATTCTATAACAACAAAAATTTACAAAAAACTTGGATTTAGAAGTTAATAAATAATATAACTTACGTCTTTCCTTAAAAAACTTTTCTGTTTGTTTTGAAGGAATCCCAAATCCATATAACTTTTCTCTGCCAAAGCTAACTGTTGTAGAAAATTCAAGAACATGGTTTTAGGGCTTGTAGGTGCCTTTGGGACTTTTTCTTTTTCCTAGAAATTAAGTTCATCAGAGTTATTACTAAAGCTATGTAGGGAGTCATTCTTACAGCATGTTCTTTGGCTTTATCAAAGCACAATTGTGATATATATGTGAAGAAATTGAAAAGGAACTCATCTTCTTTCTCCATATCATAGAATAATCACAAAATTTAAAAATACAAACATAAACAAAGAACAAAAACAATTTGTGGTTACGTTGTCAGTTCTTCTTCTAAGTAAAATTAGAGATTTTTGTACCTAATCATATAATATATGATTAAGGTTTCCCAAACACATTTTAGTAGATTTTAAATAAAATATTATTAATTTTAAATTAACAGTAACGTCAAACTTTAAAAGTACTTACGTTTCAAGCTATTTATAATGTGAAATATTAGTTAAATATAAAAAAATTAAATCAAGAACCACAGATTTTGATGTATTGTTGACAAAGGCCTATAAAATATAAAATAAAAGAAGAATTTCTGTATATAACCTACAGTTCCTACTGACAAGGACACTTTTTTGTTGAATATTTTTATTTATTATTTTTTAATAGTAACAAATAATGTCTGTGATATATGGAAAAGTAGTGTCGCTAATAATATCCGAAAGATTTGGACCAGTTGTAGAGAAAATCGTAAGCTTTTTATTCAAGTGCCAATGCAGTCCATTATTGTACATAAAAAGAGGTACAGAATTGCCTTTATCCAAGGTACTTATTCATTAACATTAATACGTATTATCAATGTATACATTCTCCTTGTAGATTAAAGAATCTCTATGTGTTTTAATAAAGTACCGCCTGGTTAATTTTAAACCAAATAAGAATGAGAACTTAGCCAATTATAGTTTAAATGTCGAGAATGTGCTTTTAATGCTTCGATATCCGTATTATTTGAACCATGCTAAGAAATTATTCGGTGACCAATCAGAAATGATTATAGAGGAAGTACTGCAAAAAGGTAATTGAATATTATATAATTTTATTTTCGTGAAACACCATATTTTTTTAGGATTTTGTTCTGCATCTGAACTAATAATAAAAGTCTTTGATAAACTATGTAATAACGAAGAAAGATCTTTAACGCTGTCACAAGTAAAGGAGAAATTAGTTTATTTAGTAACTGCAAAATACTTGACCCGAGTACCATATGCAAAAGAAGATAAACCTGTACCTTTATTAACTGTAGATGAGAAAGAATTGACTTCGTTACCAAATATTGATATTAAGACTTTAGTAATGCACAGAAAGGATAACTCAGTTGAATTGCCAGGTATTTTAGTACAAATATATTAAATTATAGATAATCATTACAGTTTTTTTTAGATAAAAATATCTATTGGACTGTAAATTTTGACAGATTTCATCAAGATATGAGGGACAAAATAATAGTTGCAGCATTTAATAAGAAGTTTGATGAAAATGCTGGTGAAATTATAAAGTATAGCGACAATATTTGTTGTTACTAAAAGAATTAATGTTTTTTTTATGTATATTTTAGGATATTTCTTAGACAAATGTACATAAGAACGGATCCTTGGGCAGATGTTTCAAATCCAGTCCCTGCCCTTGAAGTAAAAGATATTTTAAGAAAACAGATATCTGCTTCTCACAGTCTGGCGTTTTTCGATCAGTATATTAATATAATTTGTAAGATTTTTTTTTAATTTTTTTTATAAATTGTAATTATTAAAAAGAATATTGTTTTTTAGCACAAGAAACCAGTAGTCTTTTAAGAAAAGCTGGCGAAGCCAGTGGAGGGTCGTATCAGATATTTTTAAAAGAAGCATTTACACAATTTGCGTGGGAACTTGTTGAACAAATTGTATTAGAAAAATATGATTCAAAAGCTGCAAGAATATTTAGGTAGGTATTACAAAAAAAATTTGAAATTTTTTAAAAAATACATTAATACATATTTTTAAAGATTGGTGAAATTAAAACCATATATTGAACCTGACCAGTTGCAACAATTGGCTATGATTCCGGCAAAGGATGCCAAAAAACTGTCTTATCAGTTATATGAAGACAATTTTTTACATATTCAGGTACAACAATATTAAATTAACTTTAATATATACCATACTATTGAGAAAAAGAGTGTAAAAGTAGCTTTTGAACCTGCTGATTACTTCTGTCTACTGTTTACTAAAAACACTCAGGGATGCATTAGTAAATGACCTGTTTGTGTAAAAAAGTTGTTTTTTACTTCTAAAATACAATTTTTTTATTGGTAAAACTAGATTTCTATGTGTAAATAACTTTTCATTTAAAAAATATTTTTTACGTGTAAAAAATAGTTTTAGCGTGTAAAAAACTAGATTTTCACGGTGAATAAAAGTGTAATAAACCTTCAGGGAACAGATTAGTAACGATGTTGATGATGTTTGGTCATTTTATTGATAATATATACCGTATGATCGCAAAAAAAAACGGCGTCAAAGACGGCTGGGAATGACAATCGATTATAGTTTTGGTAATCTCTAGACATCATTTACTAAAAATTGACATAAAACAAAAATTAACATTAATTCTAGAAAGATTAAAAAAGGATAGAACGTTTACAGACACACAAATCTATTCTCAAAAAAAAAAGTTTTTCTCGAATTTTAAACTATACCCTATTTAAAAATCATTTTTACTCAATACAAAAATAAATTACAACCTTCCAAAGTTGTTTTTTGTATTTTTTACGTATGTTTTCCTTCAAAGTGTAAAAAACGGTATTAGCCGCTTAAATACTCATCTCTCTTTGAATAAGAAGACTATGGAATGAGCATATCAAAAATCTTAGGTACACCGCGATGGGCCTCAAATATGGCCGACTTAAATTCCGGTTTATCAGTGTCCTTCTAATTTTATTTAAAAAATGTAAAAAACTATGATGTAGGGTAGACGTGGGGTAGACTCAATAATTTGTTGTTTTATTTTACGTTGTGAATAAATGTTGGTAGTTATTAAAATTGTTATAAAAATATATAATTCTAATAAAAGTAGATAAGTTATAATAAGTATTTATTAACACAAACATCCGATACGCTATTGAAGCAGGTAAGTCAAATTAACGTATCTAAATTCTTTGACATCTAATCTTTGACAAGTAATAAATAAAAGCTAAAATGCAAGAAAAATATATAATTTAGTTAATTTAAGTGAATTTCATAAATGATCGGTTTACTACACGTATGTATATTATATAGTCACTTACTAGCGAAAAGTTGTTCCATTATTTCACTCAATTTTTGCCGAGATCTACCGCACGCTACACAACCAACTATATTAGAGTCTTTTTCGATAAATCGCGATAGTGTCACTGTTAATTTAAGTTCTGCCACAATTTCCATCTAGATTTACTACCTTTGTACAACTATCAGTAGTAGAATAAATAATAAATAACATAAAATAAGCTCCGTAAAGACTGACAAATCCACAAAATTTCAAATCAAATTCAAATGTGTCAAATGAATCGTCAAACAGAACTGTCAAAGATCCCCACCCTAGAGTGCTTTTTCCGCCCACCATGCATGACGCCCACCATTCATTATGCTCTTTCCTTTAGTCTTCTTATTCAAAGTCATCTCTGAAATTTATTTTTAAAAAATATTATCTTTTTTTTTAAATTGAATTTTAATTAATGGCAATTTTTAATATCAATTTTTTTGAATAAATAACATATAGAGGTCAGTCTGACAGATAGTATCAATTATGGTTTCAAAGACTTCTGCGACGCCGTTTTTTATATTATTTGATTTTTATTAATATGTATATGTTCTAGGAATTAAGAAAAGCGTCAGCAAATAATGGTCCAGTAAAGAATTTTACTCTGTTTCATATAAAATTAGAGAGTGTTGTAAGAATGTTACTAGAAACATGCTACAAAACACTTTTTAACACTATGACCAGATGCAATCACGAAAAATTGCAGAATAAACGGATCATAGATAAGAAACATCGAATAGATACGATTTTGATGGGTATGAAAGCCCAAAATGCGACTGAGGAACAAATGGCAGATGTAAGACCAAAAAAAGGTGATATTTCAGTCATTTTATTTATTTTTATTTCAGATAGAGGACATGATAACATTACCGGAAAAAGAAATTTTAGAAAACATAAGTAGGATCATTAAAAAATTTAATACAGTTGAATTAGAGATAGATCAGACGATTTTTATGTTACAAATGTTTTTGGTGTATCAGAAAGTCAATTAAATATCTTCTAAAGACTTGTATTAATTTGTTTTTATTATATCTCTAAGCTCTAGACTCTAGGCAGGAGATACAAATTATTACTTTTTGACCTCCCCCTATAGGCTTCTCCCTACCTCTATATCTCTGAAATAATAAGCAATTATGCAACCAGAAAATCACGAAAAAATTATCTTCTTTATCGACAGTTGTCGTACTTGTCACCTGTCATTACCTGACATTTCGCCATCTAGTCACGTGACACGATCGACATTGGAATAGAAAATTTTGACCACGAGGTTTTCAGCCCTCAAAAAAAATTACTTACCGGCTTACCACATTGAAGTTGAGTGATTTTTAAGATGCCCTCGAGCAACCCCTTGCCGCCCAAAGAGAACGCTTTATTCAAACGAATCTTGGTTAGTAGGAGAAGCGCCCGAATCGCGGGCCAAATCAAGGCTGAATATGCACATAATTCAAATTGTTTTTATTCTGAACCTTTTCAGTAAAATATATCCTTTTCAGTACGACCCGTTGATAAAGGAGTCTTTAGATTATTTAATGCGAAAAAAATTCGATGAAGAATTTGACAGAAATGTTGTTATTTCCGTCTTGTTATTTTGCCCTGTGATTTGTTTGTATATTTGTTAATATCTTTTATTAATTGGGGTTTTGAATTGTTTTTAGAAAAGCTACGAACATAAGCAGTACAAAAATGGGTTGAAATTTGCCAAACAAATATTGACAAATCCGAAATTTCAGGAACATGGAGGTTAGTTTTTTTCAAGTTCATTATTAATTGATCTACAAATAATATTAAGAAACAAACTAGAATTATAATTACTAGCACGAAATCTAAGTATTCTAAACGCATAATATGATTGGAATTGCTAAATTATTTTGAGGGATACTTATTTTTTCTTTTTTAAATGTTCAATATATAATTTGTTATTAATTTGTAGAAACCCTGGCGATGAAAGGTTTAACATTGAATTGCCTGGGTAGGAAAGATGAAGCTTATGAATATGTTCGTCGAGGTTTAAGGAATGATTTGCGATCTCATGTGTGTTGGCACGTATATGGGCTGTTGCAAAGGTAAATTTAGCTTAAAATGTCATAGTTAAAGGTTTTTTTAATGAGTATATTAATTCTAGGTCAGATAAAAAATATGATGAAGCTATTAAATGTTACCGTAATGCTCTTAAATGGGAAAAAGACAATATACAGATCCTCAGAGATCTGTCTTTGTTACAAATACAAATGCGTGACTTGGAGGGATACAGAGTAGGTTTATTATATTATTAAAAAGTAAAGAAAGACTAATTTTGTTTTTGTTGTTCTTATAGGATACAAGATATCAACTTCTTATGTTACGGCCGACCCAAAGAGCTTCTTGGATTGGATATGCCATGTCTTTTCATTTGTTAGAGGACTACAAAAACGCTTTAAATATTCTTGATACTTTTTTGGATCAGCAACAGGTAGAAAACTTATATATTTTATATACAGTGATACTTTAAAATTTTCTTATAATTTAAAGTTGGATATTTTTTGAAATTTGTATCAAAAGCAAATATCTCCAACAAAAAATAAGCTATTAAGATGAATCAAAAAACAAATTATTGAGAAAATATACACTTTGATGATAATATGGTTTTTGAATTCTTTACTTTGTTAAGCCCTCCTACAGGGTGTTTCAAACTTTTGCTATTTTCCTAAATCAATTTTTTTAGAAACTAAGTACAACTGTAGACTATGAACAAAGCGAGCTCCTGCTCTATCAGAACCTCATTGTTCAAGAATCGGGTGATCTTTTACAAGCCTTAAACCACTTGGAAGTTTACTCACCGCAAATTGTCGATAAGCTCACCCTAAAAGAGAATCTAGCGGAATTGAATTTGAAATTGGAAGTTTACAATGAGGCCACGCAAATCTACGAGGAACTGGTTCAGAGGAACCCGGAAAACACGTTGTATTATAAGAAATTGATCGAGTCAAAACGGCTGACCAAAGAGGAGGATATTTTAGCTTTTTACCTGAAATATTCGGAAAAGTTTCCTAGAGCGATGCCTCCTAAAAGGTGAGTCAATTTTTGTTTGGATTTACTTTATTCAAGCAAAAAAATAACCAGGGGCGAGTAAAAATTAATTTTTTAATCTTTACGTGTAAAAAAATATTTTTTTATTTGTAAGAACTGGGTTTTTACGAAGTAGATTTTTGTATGAATGTAAATGAAAATAAAATGTAATTTTTGTTACGTTTTTACATGTATTTTCCAAAATCTTAAATAAAAGTAAAGAGATATGTAAAACATTGCTCAGTGACTGATTTTATTAAAATTATATATTAAAAAAATCATTTTATTTACTGACTGTTATCTAAGTAAATAATATAATTTATGATTCAAGTGTTGGCTTGTAACACAAAGACTAAAAAATAATATTTAATAGCAAATATTTACCTTTTGTATTTAACCACGTTTATCTGTTTGGACTTATTTTTTTAGAATATTCAGCCTAGAATTAATTAGATTTTTTTTTGTTTTTATTTCAACTTAAATGAATGAAATGCATATTTATAGCCATACCCAATTAAAAATTCCATCGAAAAAAAGATTTTTGGTTAAATTTTGAGAACCCCTGTTTTTTATGTATGTTGTCATATTATCAAGATATATTTTATGTTTTTTTAATTAAAATTTAAATATTTTTCAAAAAAAAATAGAAAAATACAAAAAAAAATTACAAAAAACTTCATTAACGTGTTCCTGGGGTTGAAATATAATAATAATAGCTCCCAGGCACCTCGAAATATACCACCCCTTATTTACTTAAGACTCACCCTGTATATCCCAATAAATTTGTAGGAAAACGTTACATCATGTCGACAACTTTTTTATGGAAAAAACTGACTTTTTTAAAAAACAGGATCTAATTTTTTTCGCAGTTATTTATTTATACCCTGTATTATAAGAACTAATTTTGTAAAATGTGAATATTGTGAAGTAATTTCTAATAAAATGATACACTTACTTTTAAAAAAATAAACAAACTTGTAGGTTATTTAAAAGCCATCATTATTCTGAAATAAAATAAAGATTAGTGATTTTTTTATTGTCCATTGTATTTAGATACATCGGCTATATCGATATAAAATAAATATCGATATACATTTGCCATCCCTGCTCACGTTCAATGTTTTTTTCTTTCAAATTTAAATTTAAGTAGGCTTTTCTTTTTTTATAGTTCTTTTCTTTGACGTGTGTTAAACAAAAGAACATTATCTGTTTATTAATAATGTCAATTGAAATTAAATAAAATTGTTCGGTATTAAAATGGTATTAAATTAAAAAAAAACACGATTTATTTTCGATTTTTTTTAAATGCATTGAAGAAAAAAACGATATTTTCAGCTGGGTTGATGTTATTATGAAGGTAATTGATTATATTACTAGGGCGTTTTTGCTAATAAAACTAATATTACTTTAGAGTATATATCTACAAAATTAACAGTAAAATGGATTATTTGTTCCAGGTTACCGCTAAATTACGCAACGGGTGTACAATTTAAACAGTTGGTGGACAAATACATGCGTAAGGCTTTTTCTAAAGGCGTTCCGCCATTGTTTGTGGACTTGAGGAGTTTGTACAAAGATGCCGAAAAAGTCCGGATCATTGAAGAGTTAGTTTTAAGTAAGTACCACTTTTTTATTAGAAATATATTCGATTTTTGATTTAAAAGAAAGTTTTGTACAGAGTGTCTCAAGATATTCGGACGGAAAAATCGAAATTTTGTAAAATCAATTTTATTTTTGCCTTGATCTATTTATTGAAAGGAATATTGAAAATATGATGAAAATGAAGTAAATACCACTTATTGTCACTTTCTTCGTTTTATAAGATGGTGTTACATCAAATCCGACGTTTTGTTTCCGAGATTAAGTTTTATATCATTTTTTTTACCAAATATGTAAAATATTTAAAATTATTATTTTTAATATACAGGGTGTCCCAGAAATAAGTCCAAGTATTTTAACCTGTAGTATAGTTCGACCCTAGAAACAGGCCCATGAGGTTTTTTTTGGGGAAAAAATGCTGAAAATTTTATATTTTTTTCCGACATTTTCCGGAAAATATTGAAGAACTTTAGTGAAATAAAAGAAATCGATTTTTTTTAAATTTTAATCAGATTTTTTTTATTTTAATCGTTTTAATCAAGTTGATTATTTTGATTTAAATCCATGATTAAAATAAAAAAAATCCGTTGATTTAAATTATTGCACCCTGGTAAAAAAAACATTTTATTGCATGGCGAAATTGCTAAAATGTGATGGGGTGTTTTATAAGTAAAATTCGTTAACGAAGCGGTAAAAATTTAAGAAAATGTTTTTCATCGAAAAGTGCCCCTTAACGATGAAAATACGTGTACTAAATAATATCATAAAAATACGAATGTCTCCGAAGATATTAGGAAAAAATGATTTTTTTTTGTTAAAACTTTGACACAGTGTATCTCAGAAACGAAGCATTTTAGAACACATACTTATAAAGTAATCGCAAAACAATTTCCGATGCACGTGATCAACTTTGAGTGACAAGGGATGGCGACAGCGCTGCCAGATTGAGATGAATTTATAAGATGAATTCCTAATGTAAAATTGGGGAACAAAAAATGTATTATATCATTTTTTAAAGGTTTTATTTTTAATTTAATAATTAATATGGATTATTAAGGACTTTTATTGTCACGTTCTCGTTCAAAATAGTTTATCAGGATAGCTACAAGCTCTTTTCTTCAAATGTTTAAATGCTTCTGCATATTTTCAACACACAATTTCAAGAAGTGCAATACAAAAACTCGAAAGTTTGGTCCTTAAAAGAACTGTTTGTGCTTAAAAGAACAATTTTAAAAAAAAAAATATGAATATAGGCAAAAAACGAGAATTACTCACAAAGATTCAACAACAACACGATATTATACAAAATAATGACTGACATTAGGATAATTGTCAAATAATAAACAACCTTGCTGAACACGGCGCAATGTGACCAACATAGCGATAATAAAATTCGGTTTGGTTTGGTTTAGTTAGTTATATGAACTTATTACCTTAAAAATACTTAAAAAATCACTCTCTGAAATATCAAATATCAGACACTACTTCAGAAACATCCTGTATACAATAGCGCGTTTTTCCTAGGTTATGTGGAAGCTTTAAAGAAATCGAATAAATACAGCGAGACGGAATCGACGAACGGTCCTAAGGAGCCGGCCAGCGCCATCTTGTGGGTGTACTTTTTCCTGGCGCAGCACTACGACTACTTGAAACAGACTGACAAGGCTCTGACGTATATCGAGACGGCCATCGACCACACGCCAACGTTGATCGAGTTGTTCGTGGCCAAAGGCCGAATATTTAAGGTAAGTGGGTAGGTTAGTAGGTTAAGTGGTTAGGTTAGGTTGAACTTTCCTCCTTTAGGGCGGAAAATGCGGTATGAAAAATTGTATAATAATTTGTTACATCTTGGTCTAAGAACAATATATTTTTAATTTACGACATTCGGTTCATATACACGCGAATTGCGAATATTGTTGTTATTGGTCGATTTCACAAAACCACAAAAGATTTTATTTTATTAAATTTTATTATCAAAAGAAAGATTTTAATCCCCTGTATCTACGAAACAAAGCAAAATCGGAAAATTAATCTTATTTTTATGTCAGGCATCTGCCCACGGGAGATGGCACATGTTTTCTGAAACATCCTGTAATAATATGGTTATTGGTTCAGATGGAAGAAACCGAAACCACGGCACATAAAACAATCGGCACGCCAACTCTACTCAGATTCCATTGTTTAAAATTTCTATAAAATTTGACCTTGTCGGCGCCATTATGGTTTCCTAGTCAGGGCCGGATTAAAACGTATTAAAAAATTTCTCAGTAATTGACTGAAACTGAATTTTATTTACAATACTTTTGTCCAAACAAATGAATCGTTAACCGCGCATACTTCTCGAAAAGTAAAAAGGAAAAATCAATTAAATATTTCACTGTAGAGAATAGACAATTAAAATTACAAAACATGCAACTAACAAAAACATACCAGGAGTACAAACAAGAATTAAAAAAATACCAATAAAATATTTTTGAACAATATAAAGAGGCTACGTACAAATTATGCCCATCAATGGGCGTAGCAAATTTTATTAATATTCAAATTCCAAAAATTAATAAATCCACAATTTTTTTTGAGAAACTTCTATTTTTTTCATGGCAGGAAACAAAGTAGGTACCGCATTGTATTTTATACGGTTACAAAGTGAATTGGTAAACATTTTAAATTCAAAGTGAACAGAACACAACCTGTACTTGTGGGCCTTATTTATATCTTCAATCAAGTCTTCTCTGTTAGCTGCAATTGCCCATGTTCTTGCCCTAAAAATGTATTGTTAACTTATTTTCGATATACTCATTTTATTTATTTTTATAATTATATTTAAATGATAATATAATTATTTTTAAATTTAATGTTGAATGTCCAGATACAACATTAAATTTTACTAAATATTTAACATTTTAATGCTAATATTTTATATACATATAGGGTGAGCCTTGAATAAGTGCAAATATTTTCAGGGGTGGTATATTTCGACCCCAAGAACACGTTTATGAGTTTTTTTTCGCTAAAAAAAGATATTGAAAATCGTGCATTTTCTTTTAACTTCCCTGTATATTTTTCGAAAACTTTTTAGATCTGCCTGTTCACCGCAAATTTTCCCACGGTATAATTTCTTAATCTCTGATATTACCATAGTTACGGCTTTACTCTATGGTTGCGGCACTAAAAGGGATGCAAATACAGAAAAATCCGGTGGCTCTCAACTCAACATTTTAAAAAAACATTTTTTTTTAAACTTAAATAACTCGGTTATTTTGGATTTATCTGAAAAGTAAGGAGAAAATATGTTTCTTTATCGAGATCTGCCAGCCCTGAAAATATTTGCACTTATTTAAGACTCACCCTGTATATAAGTTTGTTAACATTTAATATAGATGCTGAACTTGTATATTTTTAATTAGATCTTTCTATTTAGCTGAATGTCCTAATATGTATACTGTTTTTTAACTAAAATATGTTAAAATAATTAATCACATATGTATATACATACCTAATCGGATCTCTAGGAAACAGAAAGAAACTTTTATTGCAGTTTAGTCCTCTACTCGGGCAGTTTTTTGCTGCACAACTTCGCCCAGGCATTTTAAAAACACGTAAAAATTAACGATTTAAAAATGTTCAGAAAAACAAAATAAATTTATAACACAAGAAACGAAAATAAACTAGAAAAACCAAATATATAACACAATAAACAAAAATAAAACAACAACTATAAAATATAACTCAAGAAATAAACAAAATAAATTAATCCGTACGCTACTGACTCGAATCAGCCGAAAGTGTGCGCAGTCGATGAAAGAAACTACGACACTGGTTACTTTCTGTTGATGGAAACCCTAATGGCGGCGTGCGCGACGGTATGCGCGTAGCGTTCCCGCCAAAGAGAGTTAGCCTGCCGTGTGATTTATATGATTTATATGGTTTATACATTATTAGGTAGTTATTTTATTACAATTTAATTTCATGTTCCAATTCTATGTATTTTATTTTTCTGGTTTTGTTGTCAAATATTAAACGACAACGTTGCTGAACACGACGCATTGTGACCCAACATAGCGATAATAAACATCAGTTTAAACTAATTTATACAGCTTTAATCTAAATAAAATATCTGTTACAATAATTTCCTCTATAAAATAAAATAAAGAGATGCTCGGTATATTAAATTATACAACAAATTTAAACGTTTTTGCCAAAATTTTATTTAGCCGGGTTTATAGGCTTTACTGTCAATTTCGATGTGATTGATGACGCGCATCGGAAAATTTTTGCGGTTACCGTACTTAATTAAAAGACGATTTTATTTTGCGATATTCGCAATTCGTGTGAACATGAACCTGTCTTTACGCGGATGAAATTACGAGTAGTATCTGTATAAAACGAGAAATTTCACAAATATTTTGACATATCTGTTCTGTCAGCATGCTGGCGACCCAGCGGAGGCCTACAGGTGCCTGGACGAAGCCCAGGCGATGGACACCGCGGACAGGTACATTAATTCGAAGTGCGCGAAGTACATGTTGCGTGCCAACCTCATAAAAGAGGCGGAAGACATATGTTCGAAGTTCACGAGAGAGGGCGTATCGGCCATGGAGAATCTCAACGAGATGCAGTGCATGTGGTTTCAGACAGAGTGCGCGCTGGCCTACCAGAGGTTGGAGAAGTACGGGGAGGCGCTGAAGAAGTGTCACGAAATAGATAGGGTAAGTGGAGATTGTATAAAAAAATAAGGATTTTTTTACCGATATTTTTTTGTACATTTTTGATGTACAGGGTGGGCCAAATTGGACGCTTTTAAAGGGAAACACCCTTTTCTATAGGAGATAGACGAAAACTAATATAGTCTAGAGCTCAATTTTTATCAAAAACATGATGGTGCAAACCGCACATCCATATCTGTTACCGTTTCGGAGTTACGGGGAGTTTTCCAAAAATGTGCATGTTTAACAAATCGCTGTATATTTCTTGCTATGGAAAATTTTGTATTTTTATGAAAACATTTCTAAAGCATCTTTTTACGTAGAATTTAATGGTTTAAGTATAATTTTTTTAAAATTAATAATTTAAGAGTTATCAACATAAAAATTGATTTTTTATTCGATACACCCTCTATATTTTTAGTTAATTGAAAAGAATTTAAAATTACCTTTCCAAAAATATAGCACACTTGATATTTTGTTATAATCCCCTTCGAAATACAGAATTTTTAAAAGTTCGCCACTTTTGAACTAGTAGGCTTTGGACCCCTTATTAATGATATGCCCTTAATGGAATTCGAAAACATATTTTTCCAGCAAGACGACGCACCGCCTCTGAACGCTGAAGTTATCAGCAAATTTTTGCAGCCAATTTCAAGAATAATAGGATAGCTAACCAAAATCCCAGCAGTTGGCCGTCGAGGCGGCCTGACTTAGTGCCCATGGATCTAATCCTATGGACATATTTGCGGAAGAATAAAGGTGCCTTATTCTTCCGTATAATCTAGATAAGAATTAAAAATACTTAGCAGTTATGAGAGGGTATCTTTCACCACACTGAGTTAACGAATTCCGCGAGAAATGTTCAAAAACTGCCCCGTCTGTCCATAACAGAAGACGGTCGATATGTAGAACACCTGTAGCAAAATCTCATGTCTTGGTTTGCTATTTATTTTTATTGTTATTAGATATACTTTAAATGTGTTGATGTTGGTTAAATATATTTTAAATGGGCTTGTTCCACAATTTTTTTTTATTTTACCAATCGAAAGTACAACTAAAAAATAACAGATCTATCAAAAATTAGAATTTTATTCGTACGTTTAGTACCTCAAAAACTCGTACAAACATCTATTGCGCGAGAAAGGGGCGTGGCCAGCCGCTACGTCATAGCACCGGCTACGTCGGCTGGCGACCGCGCTCGATACAGGCTCGATACAATGCACAGGTCTGCTTTGCCCGATTACAGAAAGTGTTTTTATAGTATAACGTAGTGTAGTACCCTTGTTTATAATACAAGGGTAGTACTAAAGTCTTTCTTTTATTCAATATTAGTGTAAAAAAGACAAGGAAACGTTGTGTAGTGCCAGAATGCACAAATACGAATAAAAATTCCCCAGAAAAACTATTTATTTCTTTACCGTCCGACATAAAGTTAAGACGAGCATGGCAGCATGCAATGCGAAGACATGATTTTGTCCCTGGCAGAGGCACCATCAGATTTTGTTGTGAAGATCACTTTAATGTAAGTTAATACTTACAAGTAGTGTTTCCTATTTTTTTTAATATAGGTTGAAGAAGACAGAAAATTACATATATGTACTTAAAAACTATGAAATCGGGAAGAATAAAATTAAAATCAGGTGTTATTCCTTACATTTTTGAGTGCCAAAAAAACGATCTTCTGCTTCAAATACTGTAAAGCCTCGAGGATTGGCGAAAAAAAGAGAACAAGCAGCCATTATTAGGGAAATATTAAAAGACGCGAGGCAGGAGGCAAATGAAAACTTTCATTTCGGGGCCAATACAGTAGACAAGGATCTTAAAATGCATGATCAAGAGCAATCAAGAGGAGCGCGTTTTAAACCATCAAATTTATGCAGCCACATAAGAAATGCTACCGCGTGCTTGCACGTTCGGATGCGGCACAGTCATTACACTTTGCTTCTATTACACTTTTTCTACTAGTATTTATAATAATGCTTTAATTGTTTCTTACTTCTTAAACATTCAGATAATATCCATATATTTTTTTTTACTTTTTCTTGGGTAAAAAAACACAGTCATCACACTAATTTATACGGACTGGTGCTAGCAAGGCGACTTCAAGAATAAAGTGCCTGATAAAGCCCACTATGTTGGAGCGAAACGTCGCATAAAAAAAAATCTTTCGATTTATTAAAAAAATCTCATACCCCAGAAAAAGTAAAAAAATATATGGATATAATAATGCATTGTACATTATAATTTTTTGCATTAATTTTGTGCTCCGGTGTAATTTTTGCCACTACTTGTCATAGTGATTGCTGTTGTTTTAACTTCACATATTATCCAATGGCATTATTACCATAATTTTGTCTGCCGGATCTGTAAGAAAAAAGTACATAGCTTACGTATCAGTTTTTACCTTAAAGTAGAAATATTTTTCTATATATTTATTGTATTACGTCTTTTCGCGGACCAACCTCGAACTAGTCCTAGTCAATCACATATCTTAAAATCAATTCAGTATTTGTCAGCTGTATATGAAACCACTGATTTTTTCTGCTTCGTGAATTTTCGCGAGAATATTTATTAATAATTGATCAAAATTAATTTATTTTTGTTTTTTTAATTAAAATTTAAAAATTTCAAAAATAATTAAAATATTTTTCTACAAGCGTGTTAAAATGTTTTTCGCCACACTCCGATATATAATAATATTACTTTAAGGTACTAGCGCTTTAAAATTTACTTTAGTCATTAAAGGAAACAAAAAATATATATTTGAGGAAAGTCTCTTATTTACTTGTACAATTATTATGTATTAATTCAATATTGATTATATTCATATTCTAACTTAATTATATTATTAATATAAACAATAAACAATTGTTAATTCAATAATTAGCCGAAAAGCCTCAAAATGCTAATTAATTGTATTAATGTTACAAATAGAAGAAGATTGCATAGGTTAGTTAAGAAAATGCATAGGTTGCCTTCTTTCATATAGGGTAAATAACCCTTTGTTTTTTACCCTAGCGAGCCGCCACTGCTTTCCGATACAGATATAGGTATTTAAGCAATAGAAAATATCTTAGAAGGAAAATATAATAGAAATTAAAAGGTTTACTTAGGTACCTTTGTAACTTTATTTCCTTCATTTCTGAACTAATAAACTCCTTATTTTTATTAAAATAATCCATTATCATAAAAATGTCCACTTCTGGGAGATTGCCCGAATCAGCTTTATTGAACCTTTCTCCTACCGAATGCATCTTGTGATATTATTTATTGCATAAACCAACGAAATAGTCTAAATAACGATAAAATGACAAATCACATTAATTCAAATGAATTGTTTTCGTTACGAACTGATTGACGGCCGAAGTCGGGTGTAGTGGAACTACGTCACGAGGGGGCGGAGCCTCGTCTAGCCGTTACAAACTTTAAGCTCTCATATCTCGAAAACGGCGTTTTGAAATTTTAATGGTGCACTTATTATAATAAGTAGTATCCAAAAACGTTTAAAAAACATACAAATAGGATATGATGGAACAAGCCTATTGTTCTAAAATTCTGCATCTCTCATAGCAAATATTATTTTCGTTTTAATTGATGCTCACAGCTAGATTTTTTTTGCATTACAGCCGGTGCCGTTCAAAGCCTACTTATTTAAAGCGGGCGAATTTGTATATACTCTATATCTCTAAGAGGAATCGAGCAAAATATCAAGTGTGTTATATTTTTGGAAAGGTAATTTTAAATTCTTTTCAATAAATTAAAAATATACAGGTTGCCTCATATAAAAAATCAAATTTTCTGTTCATAATTCTTAAAATATTAATTTTAAAAAAATTATACTTAAACCATTAAATTCTACGTAAAAAGGTGCTTAGGAAATGTTTCATAAAAATACAAAATTTTCCATAGCAAAAAAGTTACAGCTCTTTGTTAAAAATGCCTATTTTTGAAAAATACCCCGTAACTCCCAAATGGTAACAGATATCGATATGCGGTTGCACCATCATGTTTTTGACAAAAATTGAGCTCCAGACACCGATATTAGTTTTTGTCTATCTCCTATAGAAAAGGGTGTTTCCTTTTAAAAGCGTCCAATTTGGCCCACCCTGTACAAAGGAAAAACCCTTTTCTATAGAAGATAGACGGTGGTGCAAACCGCACATCCATATTTGTTACCGTTTTGGAGTTACGGCGTGTTTTCCAAAAATGTGCATTTTTAACAAATCGCTGTAACTTTCTTGCTATGGAAAATTTTGTATTTTAATGAAAACATTTCTAAAGCACTTTTTTATGTAGAATTTAATGGTTTAAGTATAATTTTGGTAGAATTAATAATTTAAGAATTATCAACAGAAAATTTGATTTTTTATATGGAACACCCTGTATATTTTTAATTCATTGAAAATAATTTAAAATTATCTTTCAAAAATATAGCATTTTGCTTGATTTTACTCTTTAAAATATAGAGTTTTTAAAAATTTGCCCACTTTGAATAAGTAGGCTTTGAACGGCGCCGGCTGTAATGCAAAAAAATTCTAGCTGTGAGCAGCAATTAAAACGAAAATAATGTTTGCAATGAGAGATGCAGAATTTTATAACAATTTAAATTATATTTAACAACATCAACACATTTAAACTATATCTAATAACAATAAAAATAAATAGCAAACCAAGACATGAGATTTTGCTACAGGTCTTTGACATGTCGACCGTCTTCTGTTATTGACACACCATACTATTTTTGAACATTTCTCGCCGAATTCATTAATACTGTGGGGGTGAAAGAGACCCTCGTATAACCGCTAAGTACTTCTAATTCTTATCTAGATTACACTGACAATTTAAAAATAAGAACCTTTATTCTTCCGCAAAGATAAAAATCCATAGGCGCCAAGTCCGGCGGCCTCGACGGCCAATGGCTGGGATCTTGGTTAGCTATTCAATTATTCTCGAAATTGGCTGCAAAAATTTGCTGATAACTTCTATAGGCAATTGCCCTGTCTGTGGAAAATTAAAAGTAAAAGTTTATTCAAACAGACAGGAAAAAACTAAAGCTTATAAAATTTGCTACTATTGATTCTGTAAATAAAAAAAATAAACAATTTGCAAAGTGCTTTCGGATAGGAACTTAAAAAGCGCGAAAATCAAAGCGGTCAGGTGAATATTTTTTGTATTTTTCTGTGATATTAAGGGCCATCTAACTAACCATCTTTAAAAGTTCATTAAAACATGTGTCATCCATTCTGAGGTCGTTTTTAAGGTCATCTGTTGCACTTAATCTTCGCACTTCATATGAGATAATTGTATCACGTTGGAACAACCAATCTTTCACCCAAAAACACCTTTTTGTCTTTGGCTCTTGCAATAACAAAAGCACAAGAAGTGATTTTTTTTGTATTTAAAAACATTTTTTACTTCAAGATCATTCAATTAAAACTGACGATGATATATTTGTGTGTGTGGTGAAAGCACAGTTTTCCTTCAGTTCAAAAACTGACAGGACCAACACTGAAGATCGCATCGTTCGACGTAACTGCATTGCGTGTGGCCTAACAAAGTTTAGAACTTCAGTTCAGATCGTACAATCCTAGAACTGCCGGACAACAGTATGTGAATGGGCATCTTTATATTGAGTAAAAATGATTTTTAAATGGCCTAGTTTCGAATTTTATCGTTCTATCCTTTTTAATCTTTCTATAATTAGTGGTAATTTTTGAAAGTGTTTTTTTCTCAGAAATTTCAATTAAAACCAAAATTATCCTGTGTGGTTATCAAAAAATATAAGAAATCTATTGTTTTTCTGTAGCATTTTTCGGAAATAATCGAAGACCAGTTCGACTTCCACACGTACTGCATGCGCAAGATGACGCTGCGGTCGTACGTGGGTCTGCTGCGATTGGAGGACGTACTGAGGGGGCACCCCTTTTACTTCAAGGCGGCGAAATGCGCGATAGAGGTGTACCTGCATCTTTTCGACGCACCCCTCAAGGATGAGAGTGCGGAACAGGAATTAAATACAGGTAAGTGGTGTATTTTTATATTAAATGAGTACCTATACGATTTATCTAAAAAAATTGAAATTAAGAAAAGTTTTACAAAATTGAAATATAATTTCTATTTTGGCATTGATACTTTTTTTTGTATGTTATACCCTTGTATGTGAATTTTTAAAGTAGCTCAACCTAAGACGTTTATGGATGTAAAGCACCAGATGGCGGGGCGTATTTCACAGTCTTTTGCTAAGGAAAAATATTTTTTGTTACTCTGAATTGTGAAGCGACCAATAAAAACAGAGAAAATAAAAATCGACAATTTTCGGACTATGCCAATTGGTTACTAATCGACCAAATACTTTTTGTCTATTAGATATGCTATAAAAGCTGGTAATTATACAATTCGACCATCGTGAATACCCGACAAATTCCGCAAGGCCGACAAGGCCGATGTTTTCACTGATAAGAAAAAAAAATGTTTGTTTAGATAATTTTCGAGATACTTTTTCTTTCTGAATGCACATTTTAAAGTATTTTGTATTCTTTGTCCGCTTGATCTATTATTATACTGGTCGCTCGTATCGAAGTTCTGTTTCTTCTAGTTGTAAAAAATGTTTATATTTCTTTGTAGTTGTAGTGGTTGTAGTGTAAAATTAAATTAATTTTATTAAGTTTAATTATAATGTTTAGTGTAGAATACCAGAAATAGTTTGGTAGTGTTTTTATAGTTTATTTTTTAGTTAAGTAGTAGGTGAAGGGATAATTTGGTTATTTTTTCTTTTTGTTTGATTAATTAGTAAGTTTGATAATTTGTTCAGTGCAGAATACAAGAAGTAGTTGTGTAATGTTTTTATAAGAGATTATATTCGTTTATTTTGTAGATGAGTGGTAGGTGAAGGTATTTGGGTAATTTTTCTTTTTGTTTTTCTTCTAATTGTAGTAAATTGTGATAGATACACTATATCTTCCTTCAACTTCATTGAAAAATGCGTTATCATATAATTTTGGTTTTCTGATAGTAGAATATACGAAAAAAAATCTGATCAAATTTATTTTAAATTAAATTGATCGAGTCTTATTAATCAAATTAATCTAGTCAAATAATAATAATAGTTAGTTTCTAAATACTATACAGGGTGAGTTTCCTACGATGTTCTCTATGGGTATCTCGGAAACTACTGGAGATAGAGTCGGTTAAATGGGGAAAGAATTGCAGTTTTGTGGGGTCATAAATATGCACCTTTCGGATTTTTCGGAGAAGTTTATGGCTTACTAGATATTTCGAAAAAAACAAATTTTGGCTATTTTAAAACTTGTCTATAATTCCATTATAATCTATTTTAGACAAAAAGTTTTCAGATAAAAGTTCTAGATAATCACATACCTAATGAGTTTGTGTTTTCTGTTTTTTTTTCTAAAGCCTGTCATTTTTGACATATGACTCAAACATAATATATTTTTTAATGAAAACCATAGTTGGCCATGACTTTATAAAAATCGCAATTTTTAAGCTTTTCAGCGATATAGGTATATGTTTTTTTTTCGGAAAATTACAAGTCATAGCCAATTCTTTTCTTTCTTTGCTAATTTCCATACCAATAACACCATGCCAATTAGTTGGCATGGTATTTTTATTTTGTTATGATTTATAACTTATAAAGGTGTCATAATGAAAGTCATGTTGGAACCACGACCCTGTTGATTCGCGACTATCTAAATTTAACTTTTCTAACATGTCTTGAAAACCGTTAATAATAATAGACTATAATGGAATTAGGGACAATTTTTAAAATAGCTAATTTTTTTTTTCGAAATATCTAGTAATCCATGAACTTTTTCAAAAATCTGAAAGGCGCATCACAACCGACTCTCTATTTCCAGTAGTTTTCGAGAAACCCATAGAGAACGTCATAGAAAACACCCTGTGTATTGAAAATACTGAAGACCATATGTAACAGAATAAAAAATAAATCTTGCATTATCTAATTCAATTATTTTCCTGATACTTTTTTTTAATGAAAATGTACTTGAATTATTTCAGTTAGACATGTATCCTGCTTTTAGAAAGTTTTATAGTTTAACGGGCTTTGTGTGTGAGTTAAAATAATGATATTTTTAGTTTCTATAATTCTTCACACATACAAAGTTAAAGCAAACTTGATTTTAAAACTCTGGCCATATTTTATATTAATAAAGATTTAATTGGTGTAATAAAGATTTAGATGGTGTATTAAGTACAGTATATTTATTTTAATGTCAATAATATTATTGAAGCAAGTTTTTTGAACATTTAATCAAAAATGTAAAAAGTTTTATGTTTTCAAAAAAAAATATATCGTAAAATTCGTAAAGCACTCAATTTAGAATACAATAATCTAAGAATAAAATGATTCTTTTATAAACCTGCATTAAATCAAATTAAAATAGGTATGTAACTTTTTTTATTAATTAACAGCAATTAGCATTATCATAAATTATAAAAAATGTACCAACATATCGAAATAATAATTTCTTTGTTAATACGGTTTAGAATTCTTAAAATAACAGGCAAAAATAATCCACAATTTACAATAAAATAAAAGTTTCGTTTAAATTTCTTAATCAGCTGATCACTATTAAAGTTCGCAGAAACCCGGGGCTATATTATTACATTACTCGTGAGGAAAATAACAAAAATAATCGATATTTTTGACTCCGCCCCGAAAGGTTCACGATTTGTCCTCCAGCTGGCAGCACATTTTGTCTAGTCGGTTGAACAACTTTAAGAATATATAAACAAGGGTTATACTCTTTGTTTTGCGGTAATATATCTTTCAAAATAATATCAGTTAATAAATAAATATAGTACAGATAGATAAATATAGTGCTCTCGGCTATTTCTCGGAAATGATGAGCAAAGTAAGAAGATAAGTGTAAGCCATTGATATGTTTGCGACAGTTTCCATAGTGATTTACGTATCTACGTAAGTATATATACGATCTAGGGTTATTAATGGTGTTACTAACTCAAGGACTGTATATATTCTAAAGGACTGTTCGATCGCGTCAAATCGCCGCTGTCGTAGTCGCCGTGGAATGCTACGTCACGCGCTGACCAGCACTCCACAGTGCGGCGGATGGTTATTCTAGCGGGACAAAAACTCAAGAGCAATGTTTGGGACTTAAAATCTAAGAACGTAGCAAATGTTCTAATATATAGCAACTATATGGTTAAATTTATTTATTTATTAACAACTTAATTTATTAATAAATACAAGATAATAAAACTATGATATTATTCGTACATGACACACAAAAACCGTATTGTAAACTATTGCCAAATATATAAAATTATGATATCAGGTGAAATACTTGCAAAAAACTCTTTAGCAGTTATTTTTTAATTACTTTGTAATCTTGTGACACCCTCTATATTTTATATTAAAAAATTATATTTTATTTTAAAAATATTAATTAAGATAGATATTTTAATTTTAATTTTAACACTCGGTAATTGTAAATTCATATATAGTAAGTATCTAAGACAATTTTTTAAACTCAGTGCCTTTTGATGGAGTTGTTTTGTTTTTATACTATCCGATTGAAATTAAACTTTTTGGGCATTCACTTGTTAAGCTTGAACTCCCTGTGACTGTAACTACCTGTGTTGGTAACTATTGGTAACTCAAAAGATCTACATTATTTAATATATCGATATTTGAAAAAAAGTGAAAGTTTGATATCTGCAGAACAAAGGCACGAAGGATTTTAACAAATAATATACGTACAGTAGAAAAGTACATACCTTTGGCAATCTTCAACATAATTTGGCTTTGGAATAAAATTTATAAGCACTTGTAAATATTTTGTTTTCTTATGATCTCTGCCTTGCTGAGCAGAAAACGACCAAATTTGGATGATAAAAGTGTATCGAAATACAAAGAATATTCATGCATTTTTATATCAATTGGAATGTCTACTATTTATTCTTACTGTACACATTTTTTGGCTTATTTCTAACCAAACGCTTTTGTCCTGCTAAATTTATCTTCCAACGCACTGTGCGGTCGTCCGTCAACTGCAAAAATAACTGTCACTGTCTAAAATCTTTAGCGCCAACTTCAACTCGGTCATCAGATGACGTAAAAAAACTGACAGTGCAGGAAGATAGGAATCGAACTATCCTTATCTCTATAGTATCCTTGTTACTAACCCGACTTTTTGTTTTGTTTATTTGTATTTAGCCGTATTTGTCTTTATTACAATATAAATTCCTAATTTTTATATACATTTCAAAGGTTTTCTTAGAAATAATTAATTTACTAATAATTAAAATCGACCTAATTACACAAAATTCAATAAATAATCTTAGCAGTTATTCTTAATACGAACTTTCTCAAATTTTTATAATAAAAAAATACCCATTTAATACTTTTAGTTAAATTAATAATACAAAGTCAATATTTAATTTAAGGGTAACATTTTAACACACAACTGATCACAGACCAATTCTTAAAACATCTACAAATAAGTTCTCTAACAAATCACATCACTTTTCCTTGTTTTTTGAGTCTTTATTCTTCTTTTTCGTTGTTTTTATCACTATCTCTCTTCGTTCTTTCCTCTTCTTTATATGGATAAACCGCCTGTCTTCTTCTTTCGATCTGCTGAGGCGTCAGGAAGTAAAAATGGGCACCTTCGTCCCCAGGCAACTGATACTGTATAAACCTCTCATTATCCTCACTATTTAGTGAAGAAGGAGTAATCTCTATGGCTTTAATTATCTCAGGGTTCCTCTCAGACTGATTCTCAGGATAATATTGAGACTCTGGTCGAATCGGTTCACTGTCTGGGTTTATTGGGGGTCTAGGTTTGACGTAATTGACGTTTATGTCGCTCTGTAACGATACGGGTCTGTTGTAGACGTTATTTCGATATCTTGGTGGTGGTTCTGGTCGTCTAAAATTGTTTTTTGGTGGACTGCTAATTGTAGGGACGGGCGTTGTGGCACTAGGTAGCTTTCTGCCAAAAATTGTGAAAGATTGACG